GAGAAGGGTGAGGCAGGCGTCGATGAGTGTGGTGGGAATGTTGGAATGTGTGGGGGAGACAGAGGTGTGGGGGTATTGGGTCATTGGTGAGTGCGTGTAACCCACAATTGCATGAGTGAGGCGGTAATGACGGTGCTGGGGGGGCTGAAAAAGTCGGGGGTGGGTGACCGATTAAGGTGAGCTAGATAACACTGCATCAACGGAGAGTGCTCTTTGTTGGACAGGGAGATAACTAAGCTACTCCGACAGAAAGGGAGATAACTATCTCCAGTTCTTGGAGAGTTCTTTCCCGTCTGACTTGTGACATGGAAATCAATCGAGAAGTTCATTCGAAGACACATTTTAACTAACCTATTATAATTTATATTTTCTTTAATTCAAATTAAAAATTGACTAGAACCCTTAGTGGTTTTACGAAAACTTTAGTTCAGTGCTTCTTCGAGACTTTTTTCCCCGGGGGGAGGGGGGGGGGAATTATATATTTTCTATACAAATTCCATTTCGTTCTGGGGGGGGGGGGGGCGGTAGACCTGGTAGATGCCTGGAAAAAACTGCTTTAGTTGTGTTTTTTTTCTGTGATTGTGTTTGTGGGGGGGGGGGTTAATTTCGTTTTCAAACAACAAAGAATAATATCATATTTTTATAGTCATGTCATGTTTGCCTGTCGTCCCTACTGGGACATAGGCCGCTGACAAGAGCTTTCCAGACGTCTCTGTCCAGGGCTAGTCTCTCCAACTGTCCCCAGGTGTATCCAATCTTCTTGGTGTCTTCTTCCAGGTCACGTCTCCAGGTCTTTCTTAGTCTGCCTCTCTTCCTCCTGCCTTGTGGATTCCAGGTAAGGGCCTGTCTTGTTATGCTGGATACAGGCTTCCTGAGTGTGTGGCCAATCCATTTCCATTTTCTCTGGAGGATCTCTACTTCCACTGGCAGTTGATTTGTCCGTTGCCATAGAACATCATTTCTGATGGTTTTAGGCCAGCGAATTCGCAGGATCTTTCTGAGACATGCGTTTATAAATGATTGTATTTTCTTCTTATTTAAAGCAGTTATTCTCCATGTCATATTTTTATAGTAAATTAGATTATTTTCACTAATAATAGCGGAGGTTAATTAGCGTCCCTGGCACTGTTATTTTTTTTTAGATCAACGTGGCAACTGTACTGATGCTATGGTATCGTACAAGAAGAAACAGTGTGATCATAGCGCGATATATCAAAATTTTCCCTGAGTTAGGCCAGGTACCAGTTAGCGCTGGGTGAACTCAAACACATTTCTAGATTTCTTACATGCTCAACGAAGTCGTGCAAGTCATGGGACTAAGTCATGTGACTAAGTCATGGGACTAAGTCATGGGACCAAGTCATGGGACTAAGTCATGGGACTAATGGCAGATCAAGGGTGGGAGTTGTAAGTGTGGGTGGGGGTGGAGTGTGTTTGTGAGATTTAATGAGCCATCAAAGACTCTCACCAAAGACACGTTCCTGAATTGAATTATTGACTAGGCTCGTTAGCTATTTTAACATTAATGACTAAATGTCTGGTCTGTATTTTAGCTGATACGCGAAACTCGAGGCCTTGAACTTAGTTCTAAAAATAGCACTTCTCGAGACGGGGTAGAGTGCTGTGGAGGTTGTCGCCCCTGAATGGCGTGAAAACGACTCCAGCATGTTCAGAGAGCGGCCTGACATCTTTCTGTCATTAGTCCCTGGGACCATCTTCACCCACATCCCACACACTCTCCACACACACCCTCTACACACGCACACAACATCCCCACCCTCGTTTCGTCATTAGTCACAGGGACTTTCTTCACCCCCACCCCACACACCCTCCAAATACAACCTTCACACACACACACACACACGCACACACCATCCCACCCTCGATCTGTCGTTAGTCCCAGGGACCATCTTCACCCACACCCCACACACCCTCCCCTCCCCCACCACAAACACCATCCCCAGTACACCATCCCCACCCTCGTTCTGTCGTTAGTTCCAGGACTTTCTTCACCTCACCTCACCCCACCCCCACCCCCCACCCCCCCCCACACACACACACACCATCCCCACCCTTGTTCTGTCATTAGTCGCAGATGTTTAGCAGCGGGATCAATGCTTTGTAACTGCCAAAACTTTCTCCATCACCCCTTCCACCCACCCCCGACTACCACCACCCACCCCCGACTACCATCAGCCACCCCCGACTACCACCACCCACCCCCGACTACCTCCACCCACCCCCGACTACCACTACCCACCCCCCGACTACCACCACCCACCCCCGACTACCTCTACCCACCCCCACTACCTCCACCCACCCCCGACTACCTCCACCCACCCCCGACTACCACCAGCCACCCCCGACTACCACCACCCACCCCCGACTACCTCCACCCACCCCCGACTACCACTACCCACCCCCGACTACCACCACCCACCCCCGACTACCTCCACCCACCCCCGACTACCTCTACCCACTTCCACTACCTCCACCCACCCCCGACTACCACCACCCACCCCCGACTACCACCACCCACCCCCGACTACCACCACCCACCCCCGACTACCTCCACCCACCCCAACATTTGTCACAGTTGCCCACTGATCAGTTGTCCTATGAGTTACATAACTGAAGCCATGAAAGACTAAACTGATGTTTTCCTACGCATCACGAAGGAACGATACAACAAACAGTTGTTTTATCCCGCAGCAAAGAGAAGATAAATATTTACTTTCTCCGGTATCGTTTCTGTTTCATTTGCCGACTCTATCTCCGTGTGTTTAGCGCTAAATTTGTTTGTGAAATCTTATACACAAGTGTATCATCTCTGTGTGTTTAGCGCTAAATTTGTTTGTGAAATCTTATACACAAGTGTATCATCTCCGTGTGTTGAGTGCTAAATTTGTTTGTGAAATCTTATACACAAGTATATCATCTCCGAGATTCTGACCAACTTGTAACGTAATTTCTACGTTTTATCCCCCACTGTTGTAAGTCTCTCGAGAAAGATTAGCTGAAATGAATCCTCACTTCATTAACGCCCTACTCAGGTGTAGTAGGTATAAGTGTTACCTCGCTTAAAACATCTATTAGGAAATTGATTACATGTAACTTCTTCTTCGTTTGCGTTCTCGATTAAGTATACGTGTCAACTGATTATTCGCCGTACTTTGATTTCAGCCTACTTTTCTTTTTGAAGTTGCTTCCAGCCAAGAACAAACTACAAGGCAGCAGTTGTTTGAATTTGGAGTTGTCTCTCCTAGAATAGTTCGAACTCTTGACTTTTCGGTTTAGCAGTCATGAGCTTTACCGAATCGACCCCTTTTTGTGTAACGTAAAATAAGAAAGTTACGAGTAACAAAAAAAGAAAGTTACGAGTAACAAAATAAGAAAGTTACTAGTGTAACTTTGCAAACAGCGGCTGTGTTGGTGGCACTAGTCTTTCTCTAGCACCAGGCAACGGATTAAAATTTTGTGGTTAATTTTTTTAAACAACAATTTAACTATACATGCTTCAAATACGAGCGTCATTTATCTTTAATTGAAACTCACATTACGTCATTCCCCCCCCCCCCCCCCACCTCCACCCGACCCTTCAAGGCTATCACCGCTGTCGAATGTTTTCAATATTGTCAACAACAAAAAAGACATTCATTTAAGGAGTTATCAACTTCCGGGTGTTAAAAACAAAACAGGAAGTGGGAAGAATCAAAGCGATACCCCGGTTCCCAATGCCACTAAAACAAGGGTCAAAGATCAAGGTCGTGTGCTGGTTTGTTTAAAAACTGAAATCTATTTTAAAACGCCTTTTGAAGAAGAATTCTCCTCTGTGGCTATTTGTGTCGGTTAAAAAAATAATAACACCAGTTTTTACTTTTTTGTGTTACATTACTCAATAATTTAAATGAGACCTGCCTCGTTTTGGAAATGACATTTCTTGGCCTCGCGGCGGTCAAAGAAAAATTAATTCATCACTCAGTTCTTATTTTTTTTTGGTACAAACTTGAACACTCCAAGGGGAAGGGGAGGTGGGGGTGTGAAAACTAAATTTTGTAAATTTTACTTCAACATGTTTCCGGAAGGGGGGGGGGTGTGTTGTATATTGATACACAAAATTTAATTTTATTTATTTTATCGGGGGATGCGCTGTATTATACTAATACACAATTAGAAATTATACCAACCATTACGTCGGGGCTTTGTTTTCGGGAAAGGATTTATCTTCCGGCTTACTAGTTGCCCATTAATGACACGATCGTTTTAATTTTATCTGAACATTTTGTTGACAAGCAAAGTAAAATAACGGTCTTCATGGGGATCGTCTAGTGTTTAGAAAATTTAAGCTTCCAAAGACTGTGGGGAAAAAAAGTGGAGAAAGGGGTTATTGGCTGTTATTTTTTATGTGACGTCATTAATTTTCGAAATGATAACAATGGCGTTTAAGCGATATTTGTTTTTGTTTGTTTTTTTTTTTACACAAAAAATGTGATGAAGTTAATGCAAGTAAAAATGTACGAATTCAACATCGGAAAGCTCCGGAAATCTTTGAACAAAATTTAACCCCGCCCTCCCACCACCTGTACTCACCCTCCCCTACACTTTCTGGCAAGCAGGTAAAGTTAAGTTACCCAACGAACCGCGCCGCCTCTACATTTCTGGTAAAGCAGGTAAAGTAGAGTTACCCAACGAACCGCGCCGCCTCTACATTTCATATCGTCACGTCAGGCGAGCATCACGTTCGGGATTATCTCAGCTTATCCCCGCCAGGACTCATATCCCAAAGATTATCCTCAACAGAATTTACATCCTAGATTAAGATCATCTTACGTTCAAAGACGCAGCATAGCTAACCCCCCCCCCCCCCCCCCGTACACACCGTCCTTCCGCTGTTTATTTTACATCACTCCCCTTTTCTTACAGCCCAAAAGCCCCCAGTTTTATATCTTTGGTGCCACCACTGTCAGCATTCCTAATTTGAGAACCATTTCCTTTTCCAGATGACGCAAACAACGTACAGCAAATCTGACGTCAGCACCCTGTCGTCCCTGACCTCTTGTCTCCGTCACTGCCTTGGTCCCGCGGCCTGCCTCTTTCTCTTTCTCATCGTCATATCCACATTTGTTGAAGGTGGGTTCACTTTTATCATCCACATTAGTTGAAGGTGGGTTCACTTTTATCATCCACATTAGTCGAAGGTGGGTTCACTTTTGTCATCCACATTAGTTGAAGGTGGGTTCACTTTTATCATCCACATTTGTTGAAGGTGGGTTCACTTTTATCATCCACATTAGTTGAAGGTGGGTTCACTTTTATCATCCACATTAGTCGAAGGTGGGTTCACTTTTGTCATCCACATTAGTTGAAGGTGGGTTCACTTTTATCATCCACATTTGTTGAAGGTGGGTTCACTTTTATCATCCACATTAGTTGAAGGTGGGTTCACTTTTATCATCCACATTAGTCGAAGGTGGGTTCACTTTTGTCATCCACATTAGTTGAAGGTGGGTTCACTTTTATCATCCACATTTGTTGAAGGTGGGTTCACTTTTATCATCCACATTAGTTGAAGGTGGGTTCACTTTTATCATCCACATTAGTTGAAGGTGGGTTCACTTTTATCATCCACATTTGTTGAAGGTGGGTTCACTTTTATCATCCACATTTGTTGAAGGTGGGTTCACTTTTATCATCCACATTTTTAGAGGTGGATTCACTTTTATTCATCCACATTTGTTGAAGGTGGGTTCACTTTTATCATCCACATTTGTTGAAGGTGAGTTCACTTTTATCACCCACATTTGTGGAAGGTGGGTTCACTTTTATCATCCACATTTGTTGAAGGTGGGTTCACTTTTATCATCCACATTTGTAGAAGTTCGGTTCACTTTTATCATCCACATTTGTAGAAGTTCGGTTCACTTTTATCATCCACATTTTTAGAAGGTGGGTTCACTTTTATCATCCATATTTGTTGAAGGTGGGTTCACTTTTATCACCCACATTTGTGGAAGGTGGGTTCACTTTTATCATCCACATTTGTTGAAGGTGGGTTCACTTTTATCACCCACATTTGTTGAAGGTGGGTTCACTTTTATCATCCACATTTGTAGAAGATGGGTTCACTTTTGTCATCCACATTTGTAGAAGATGGGTTCACTTTTGTCATCCACATTTGTAGAAGATGGGTTCACTTTTGTCATCCACATTTGTAGAAGGTGGGTTCACTTTTATCATCCACATTTGTTGAATGTGGGTTACTTTTATCCTATTAGGAAGATTGTTCCACAAATTAGCACTGGAGAAGGCGAAGCTAAGTTTTTGGAACATTTTATTTCCTGTTGGCATTTTCTTTTAAGCCAGAGTACTTTGGTACCAATGTCAATGTTAAATAGGGTCAGATTTAAAAAGTGATTTGAGCTTTTAATGTTGATTTTTTTTCCTTTGTTTTTCTATAGCAATGGTGGGCTATAAAAGGACTGAGGCGGATGTAGTGTGGCGTGGATTTAAACTGATTGTTTCTGTTTAGGTCTTGGTAGTCGAGAAGAAAAGGGGGCGGGGATTTCCTAGTTGTTTCCCTTTTTAAAAATTTCAAATAGTTTTTAAAAAAGCAAAGAAACTTGGTTGGGGGGGGGGGGGATTAGGGTGGGATGTGGGTCACCATTTGTGGGGATCAGTGTCAAAGACATGTTTGTAGTGTGGGAGGTATGTAGTTGTGGGGGTGTGGGGGGTATCTAGTTGAGGGTTGGTGAGGAGGGTATCTAGTTGTGGGGAGTGTGGGGTGGTATGTAGTTGTGGGGAGTGTGGGGTGGTATGTAGTTGTGTGTGGGGGGTATCTGGTTGTGGGGAGTGTGGGGGGTATCTGATTTTTTGTGGAGGATGATCAAAGGAAGTTTGATAGATTAAAATTTAAACAGCCCTCTAATATTACCAGACGTTTGCACTGGTATCACATTTTGTATGAACTCACGTTTGAAGTTATTTATAACCAGCATTTCATGAACTCAATAAATGTTTACCAAACCGAGTGGCGGGGGGGGGGGGGGGGGGTGAGCGAGAAAGGCGGGGGGAAGGGATGCTACAAATCTAAAATAAGTGAAATAATTTTATATATAAGAAATTTTTAGACCCGGAGTCGAACCTAGAGCATTCAGTTCACCATCAAGATTCTATCACTCGACCAGCAAATATTCATTAAAACTCTTCCAATCACGGATTGTAACTACGACCCTGAGCAATAAATAATAACTAATTAATTAATTAAGAATCTTAATTTCCAAAATTCTCGTTAACAAACTTTCAATTCCCAATATCTGTTAATTAGAAGAAAATTTTAATTTAACCAAATTACAATGCGTGTTTCATTTTTCACGAACATAATTTCAATGTTGGTTTTTTTTATGGGGGGGGGTGTTTGTTGTTTTGTTTTTTTCTGTTTTTGTTCACGAACAAATTTTTCTATAAAAAATTCAGCAGGCTGAACCCAGTCGATGGCAAACCGCTAATGGTATAGCTACAACTTTAAGGCCATTCTAGAAGGTCAATTCTAAAGGGGTCATCGAGCTTTGGGCACTTCTTGGGAGGAACATAGTTGTAAAAACTCGAGCGGTGACCTATAAATGTTGGGTGTCGGAAATTAGATGAGCCAGTGTTTACTTGATGCGCTGGTTCAAGGAGGTCTTAGAGTAGAGAGAGAGAAATAGGTCAAAGAAACTCGATTAGAAAGTATGGAATAACAACATGGTTAGAAATTTAAAGCAAAACAAAAAACGCATCTGAAATATTATTATTTAAAAAATAAAATTTAATCAAGAAGATTTAAACTACAAAAAATGCTGGTAAATAAAAACGTTTTAATTTTATTTTCTAATGTTACTTTAAACGTATTTTATGTATACTAATATGCATATTCTTTTATTTTAAGCCACTCCACATTTTCTGAGCGATGAAGATGTCAACGACGCGAGCATTGAGCTGCCAGATAAAAGGTTGTATTTTTTGCCAAACGTTTGTTTAATTTTGGCTCATTTTAATTAAAGTAATCTAAAACTAACTTTAATTGCTGCCCCCTTCCATTGAAAAAAAAATATGTAGGACCATGTGTTGATTAAACTAGGAAACATGATCAGTCCTGATTGATTATTAAGCCAGGGATAATTAGTGAAACATGATGATTAATTTATATGGTGTGCTAATTTTACTTGTTTTTTTTTTACGTGAGATGGTAGTTTATTTTTAAATCAAATGTGATGGCGTCGGTAAAATATTAAAGGATTTTTCTTATGTTTTTATATTCCTTTTATCTGTTTGTCATTGTTGTTCTTGTTTTTTGCTGTTGTTGTTTGTTTTGTTGTTTGATTGTTTTTTGTACTTGTTGTTTTGTGTTTGTATATTTGATTTTTTTTATTCTAATAGTATTTGTGTTTAAATATTTATACATCGTTAGCATAGTTATTAAAATATAATCGATGTAATCAACAGTCATATTTTCCTTTATACAAAAACAGTCGGAAATGTCTTAGATTTTGTGGTTTGGTAGGCTTACTCAAATATAAGTGGTCTTATTTAAGTTAGATAAGGGTTAAGGTTATAATTGAAAAGTTTTCTGAGATGTGTTTGGGTTGTGTTAATATTGTTATGGCTAGAGTTATTGTTAGAGTTAGCATTAAGGTTAGATTTAATGTTAGAGTTAGCCTTAAGGTTAGAGGTAGTGTTATAGATGATTTAGAGTTAGGACCGTATAAGCTAGAGAGATCACCAAGCTTAATAATTATCATCTTATGCATAATTAATAAAAAGTTACCTTTAATTAATTATTCTATGGTGATTAGCTTGAAAATTATGTTTAAATAAACGTTTTATTACGACTGACATGAACACTACCTGTGAAGTCGTTGTTTTACCGTGATGAATTTCTCCCCAGATATGCAAAACTTTTATTATGATTGACATGAACACTGCCTGTAAAGTCGTTGTTTTACCGTGATGAATATTTCTCCCCAGATATGCAAAACTTTTATTTTGATTGACATGAACATAACCTGTAAAGTTGTTGTTTTACCGTGATGAATATTTCTCCCCAGATATGCAAAACTTTTATTACGACTGACATGAACACTACCTGTGAAGTCGTTGTTTTACCGTGATGAATATTTCTCCCCAGATATGCAAAACTTTTATTTTGATTGACATGAACACTACCTGTAAAGTTGTTGTTTTACCGGAATGCATATTTCTCCCCAGATATGCAAAACTGTCGTACTATCGCCCCCAGCACAGTGGCTCTGGCAGACGAAGGTACGATCACTATGGTTACCGTAGAGGTAGTTACGGCGGTGGCAATGGGAAGTATGGGAAAAAAGCGGTATCCAGGTCAGAGAGAAAACAAAACTTCCAAATTTCGTCGACTTGTGTTCTTTTTTATCGAATAAATCTTTCTGTGTCTTTTTTTTTTAAATCGAATTTCCATTAAAATAAATCTTTTTGTATCTTTTTTCTCTAAAACATTTCACTAAACAGATTATATGCTTCTGGTTTTTATCTAACGAATTTTTTTTTCTAAAATTACAAAATCTCTTGGACGTTTCTCGGTGTAATCTTTCTGTGTTCGGTGTTTCCTGTTAAATATCAAAACCTATTTTGCGACAGGCTAAATCTTTTAATGCATAGCTTCAAGTGTTGATGGGGTCTATTTCAGTATTTTCAATGTATACTCTGATGTTTTTAAATATGCAAATGATGAAATAGGTTTTGAATGCTTTAAATAAACATCAGCGCTTTTTTCTTTGTTTACTTCTGTTGTATAACCTGCTGATACGGCAGGCATTCAATACTTATTTATTTTAAATTTTGGTAAAATTGTCTATCGGAAGAATTCTTTTGCTAGATTTGTGTATTCAATATGACCCTAACCATCAGTGTTTCTTTCAGGCATCTCTCCGTGGGGGGAAGGGGGGGGGCACTGCCCATCCCCTGAGCACGCCCCCCACCGCCCCAGCTACTAGACGAAGTACAAAAAAAATATTAAATTTAAATCGACAATCATCGAATATATAATCGACAATACATACTGTATTCCTTTTCCTGCCCCCCCCCCCCCCCCACATACACACACTCCCGTAGTTGTACATGCCTTCACCCTAAAGGAAAAAGGTCTGAAAGAAACCCTACTATCCCTGGCCCTACCACAGGCCAACAAAAAATCCCAGTGGGCCCCCTGGAAATAAATCTCGGTGAGCCCCCAGGATAAAAAAATCGGTGGGCCCCAGAAAAAGGTTCTGTAATAGCCATTACTCCATACCAAAAGGTAAAATTCAGGCTTTGGTGGAGAAAAAATGTACAATGAAAATTTAAATCTGGGGTTGGGGAGGGGGTTCTTTAGAAATTCCCCGGGCCTTTTGGACACAGTCAGCCCATCACTTTGGGGAAGTACATTTTCTTAACAAATGAGAAAATAATGCAGAAACAGACTTGTTTCGATTCTTTCAAGCTAGTTTGGTACCCTGTTCGAAACCGCATGTTTTAGCATCAAACGTCTGCTTAACTTGATCTATTTCCAATCGAATTTCCTTTATTATATTGACCCGCTAACTTCCGTCTCCTGTTCCCCATCCACCATTTGACGCTAACCTCAGGAGACAAATCGTACCTTAGCACACTCTCAAGGAATTTAAAAAGTTGCATCCTATCTTGTTTCGTTTCTGTGTCGCATGTTTTTAAATATTTTTAACTTTCTTTTCAAGATAAATTTTAATTAATATATAATTTCGTCGTTGCGGAATGAGAGACATATTAGTAAATATTAAACAGAAATTTACATGTTTTATAATATCTTTAGTTAGCGGATTGGTAAACATCAATGAGCTGTAATATAAAGTAAACCCACAACTTCCAGCTATTTTTTTAACATTTTTTGGAACATTTTCAAGAACATGTTCTATAATATATCATAAAACATTGTCTAAATTATGCCCTGAAACTGGCTGAAACCTTTTAGAACTAGACTTTGAACAATGTCTGGAACATGTCCTGAAATATTTCTAGAACATGTGCCGGAACATATCTGGCACATCAATTCCAATTATCAGCTATGTCAAGTTGTTTATGATGGACGGGGTTGGTATTTACTCTCTTTAGCCTTGATAATCATATTTACAAAGCGTTGATATTTACAGACGTTTTGTACTTTACATTCAAATTTGTTTTCTCTATCCCAGTACCCAACGATGTGATTATTGTGTGCGTGTAATTAGCCATATACCAGCTCAAATGTGACATTTTATGTCGGTGGTGATGATTGTTTTTCTAATGATACTTGATTATGTAGGCGAAAGCGCTTATTTTTATTTCTCAACCGCCAACCGCGTTGTTTTGTAATTTCTTTGGATGATTGCGGTAATTAGAGAAAATGGCACATTGAGACAACTCTTCAAGAGTTTAACTCGTATCTTTAAAAACAAACACTTGAAGATTACCCTTTAATAAATTGTATGATGCCGCCCCATGTGATGAAGACACAAAAGGCTAAAGATAATGAAATATCATATGATAAATATAAACTAAGCATTTTTCAAAAGTGGGCTACGTTTTTTAAAACAAGAAAAAAGCACACTCGGCCGCATAAGTAAAATATTTCGAACAAATGTAATACAGTAATCAACTTAAAAACAAAAAGCAAAACGTATAAAGAATATATTTAGAGCGATCGTTTTTCTTTACTATTTTATTAAAGTCCGAGAACATGTTTGTTTATGTTTCTACTTTTCGTCCATTACGTAGCCTGCTATTATAAAAGTTTTATACTTGTTTTTGTTTTGATTCTAAAAACCGGAGCGTCATAGGGTGGGTGGGGAAGGGTAATCAAAAAGTCCCCCCTTACCCCCCCCCCCCTTCCATAGAGGCGAGTAGTGACAACTCCACAGACGGGCCAACGTGCTCACTGATTCTCTCCTACTTAGCTAGACGTCTGCTAGTAAAGTTTAAGCCACTGGGGTGCCACAAACAATCGCCAACCCAGTCACTCACACACGGGCACACAAAAACAACAAACGCATGCTCACATCCGGTCATGCGCAGACGACCATCTCGTGCCGTGTTAACACGAGACCTAGAACCGTAATTAAAAATCAACCCATTCCCACTTGGTTCAGTGTTTTCTTTTTATTCCCATCTCGCGCTAATTCCAGCACCAGACGAATTCCCGTATCGTGCGAATTCCCATACCGCGCTAATCTGTTTAATTTAGATTGCACATCAAATACCTATTGCTGCTGACTCCCTTTGGTAGAGATTTAAATTAGTATGAACCCACATGTGTCGGGGCTTTCTCAAACCTTTAATGGAAAGGGGTCGCGAACATAGTTTAGATTACACTTCGACCTTTTGACCCCCACTTTCCTCGTATGATTTTATACCGAAGTGACTACTCGGAAGAAGATTTTTCTCCCCAACGTCTCCACTTAGTCGGCAAAAGAAGCTCTGCGCATGCGCAGTGACCTATGGCTAGGGTTAGGGCTAGAATGAGGGTTAGGGGTAGGATTAGGGATAGGGTTAGGGATAGGATTAGGGCTAGGGTTAGGGTTAGGGATAGGATTAGGGATAGGGATAGGGTTAGGGATAGGATTAAGGTTGGTGTTAGGGTTCTGCGGTTGTAAACACACGCATGCGCAGTACCATCATATCGCATGCGTATCTTATTCCGGCTAGCATCGGCCGATTTTATACAACATTGGTAAGGAATTCATACCATCTCAAAATATACAACACAATTCAGAGCTACAGAAACTACGATTTGAAATTAAATTCTAGAAAGCTCTTGATTTTTATAGAAATGCAATTGTTAAACCTTCATTAACGTAGTTTGCGGATGATCCCTTATGATTCACCCCAAACCAGGATCATGTTTTACAGACCCCTCCTAACCTTGCGAAACAGATTTGTATAAAAACAATGATATATTTATATCTGAGGTCGCGCAGAGAGCGGGGTGTGTTGGGCTTCCTGGGGAACAAAAACTAACCTAATTTATAGCAGTAAAAAAACTTTGGCCGTAAAGAGTGTTTAAAAATAGGAACCGAAAATGTCCACGTTAGGATATTGGATTTTTTTCTTTCAGTCACGCGATGGATAGACACGGGGAGACAGTTGGTGGATAAATGTGGATTGATAGGAGTCATGTGGCATGTGGATGGACAAATGCCACGTGTGACATGTGGATAGGCATTATGTCACTTAACACAATTATAACTAAATACCTAGGCCTATGACATGGAACTCATACATCAGTAAACACATGTCATTCCAAGTCAACATTCTGTTTATCATCGATCCACCCCCTTCCCGGCATCACTTCTCACTCGCTCCCGCCACACCCTCCCCACCCCCACCATAACACCCACACCCTCCCACCCTCACCATAACACCCACACCCTCCCACCCCCACCACACCCTCCCACCGCCCACCATAACACCCACACCCTCCCACCCCCACCACACCCTCCCACCGCCCACCATAACACCCACACCCTCCCACCCTCACCATAACACCCACACCCTCCCACCCCCACCACACCCTCCCACCGCCCACCATAACACCCACACCCTCCCACCCCCACCACACCCTCCCACCGCCCACCATAACACCCACACCCTCCCACCCTCACCATAACACCCACACCCTCCCACCCCCACCACACCCTCCCACCGCCCACCATAACACCCACACCCTCCCACCCCCACCACACCCTCCCACCGCCCACCATAACACCCACACCCTCCCACCCTCACCATAACACCCACACCCTCCAACCCCCCACCATAACACCCACACCCTCCCACCGCCCACCATAACACCCACACCCTCCCACCGCCCACCATAACACCCACACCCTCCAACCCCCCACCATAACACCCACACCCTCCCACCCCCACCATAACACCCACCCCCTCCCACCCCCACCATAACACCCACACCCTCCCACCCCCACCGTCCCCGCCACACTCTCCCACCCCCCACCGTCCCCTCCCACCCACCCTCCCAACCCCACCACCCCCATATGAAAATACCCGCTCCACCAGTTCCCGAATGGACACGTCTGCTTGTATCAAAAGGTCAGCTGCTCACCTGTCCCCATTAAATCACGTGATGCCCGTGGCTAGGGGTCAGGGGCGGCTTCACCCAATTAACAAAAACACGGTTGCGTCGTCTGTTACATTAAATTTTTCTTAATTACACGTGCGGTTTTTGTATCACTGTTTAGTTTTTTCTAGCATCTAGGAATAAATGTTAGGGCGCGTCCTGTGTCATGGTGGTGACACTAAGGTGACACCAATGTGATACCAAGGTGATACCAAGGTGATACCAATGTTTTGAAATATTCCTCACTTAAACTTAGTGATCATTATTTATTGCCCGCCCCCCCCCTCCCCCATTTTTTGCGTTCTTATTCAAGAACACACAGCCTTCCCCCCCCCCCCCCCCGCCACAGTTTCTTTCAGTCATCTCTTCGATGGGGAGGGGTGTGGGGGGGCAACCCCCACCCGGACAAAATAGATAAAATATATAATGTATGTAGATAATATATCTATATATATATGCCCATCACCCGTAAATTTAAGAGCACCCCCCAAGGGAATGTTTCAATAGCCCCCCCCCCCAACTCTCCCACCGGAGAAAAATATCTGAAAGTAACATTGCAACCCTCCCGCCCCCCCCCCCCCTTTCCGACCCATTCCTTACAGCCAGCAGCAATGATATGAGCCGCTTATGTCATGTACTAGTCCAGCAGTTTAAAAAAACTGTCCACGGTGAAATGTCACTTGTGAAATATGCAAGGACAAATCGACATTATGAGTTGCTGTGAGAGTGGTTTCCCTTGACTAAAATATCGCCCACCGTGATGGTGCGAATGAAACTAGATGATCGGAAATTCCCGGAAGGAACTTTTTCGATGTGATTGCTTTGTTTCAAGTTGGTCAAAAATGACGTCCATCTATGCTTAGATAATCCTTAAACTGTTATTGGCGTGTTAATATTGGATGAGCCGTATTTTGGTGGCTTTATGTAAATGACTCGTATTTTTTGTGGTATTTTGTGGATAAGTCGAATTTTGGTAGCTACATGTGAATTATGAATGTGGTTGCGAATGTTAGCACAAATGTCTCTACTGAAGTTTTTATAAATAAAACGGACACTGTAGATGACAATGTCTACAACTTTGGCCTAAAAAAATGGTCCCCGACATTATCATAGCAAAAAACAAAAATTGGACGTGTTTTCGACAAAGTTCTTATCCTGTGTAACGTTTTATAACCTTACTTCATATTATGTTACATTTCTAGGAATCTACACCACCATTAAAAAGACCATTAAAGTTTTTGTTTTTAATAACTTGAATGTGAAGATTGGCATTTTGTTTCCCGTGCTTTCCACTGGAAAAATAATCAAACAACTTATATAGAGAGTATATAGAGAGTGCATGGAAAGTATAGAGAGCGTATATCGAGAGTACATGTTGAGTATATAGAGAGTAGAGAGTATTTAGAGAGTGTATAGAGAGTACAGGCTATTTAAATTTCAGTATTTTTGTTTTCAAAAGTACCAGCCTTCCACACCACTACCCTCCCATAAACCACCCCCACTACCCCTCCCACAAACCACCCCCACAAACCACCCCCACTACCCCTCCCACAAACCACCCCTACAACACAAATACGACAAACACCTTTCGTGTTAAACTATGTGTACACGACACCTAAGTGAAGCGCCAGTACTAATGGCTTATCATACAGGAACAAGATAAATTACAATAGTCAACATCAGACCATTCTTGTCTAACTAGCTGTGTTCAGCTCTCGTCACAATGGCGTGTGATACAGGAATAAGATACATTACAATAGTCAACATCAGACAGTTCTAGCCTAACTAGCTGTGTTCAGCTCTCGTCACAACAGAAATTTACATCTTTTGCTTGTTGTTTGCAGAATATATTTTCCTGTTTCTTTTGTATTTAGATGTTTATAAATATATATTTTATATGTTTATGTTTATTAAGTAGCATAAAAAGCATACAAATGTAAAGGCTTTTACAGATGGGGCGGAAATTATTAGAAATCCCCCCACCCCCCATATCATGTCGAGGGTCTACGCCGCTGTTAAATTCGTAATGTAGCTGTAGTCAGCTTAGTTTAATATATTTTTATAACTTTAAAAATGTTAGAATCATATTTTTGCACAAACCACTAAAAATAATTACAAGCAATTTTATAAATTGTTCAAGCCCTTTTTTTTTGCGTTGTTAACGTTTTTAGTTTCTATTTTTAGCAGACTTTCACAACATTGATGACGTCATTTTCCGATTATTATTTTTTTAGATACAGCATGCCCTGGGAGAATCTGCCCAACACGAACTGCCTTCGGAAGTTCTGCCGGAGTGACGACGATTGCTGCAGACGATACTCCAAGTGCAACGAGCAGGCCCGCATCTGCTACGACTGTTGGTACGGCCACCCCTGCCAGACGAACCAGGACTGCTGCGAGAAGTTCCCATATTGCAACACGGTGCTCAACACGTGCAGCAAATAAAGATGGCGTCGGCCTGCTAGGCAGCTTCAGACTTGTAGCTTTATTTGTGTGACTTATATATTCAAGATTAATAAATATAAACGTGTAATAATTTAAAGTTTGTCTCAAATCAAAGAAATGTTCGCGGAAAATATTTAAATACCGTTTTATTGCTTCTCGGATTATTATAGAAATTGATAACAATGGATTAAAGTAGGCGTATAAAAATGTAATCATGCTAACCCCCATCGCTTAGTTCAGTTTACTTTAATATGTATTGGTAACTACACTAACAGTTAAATATGTATTGGTAAATATATCTTGAATAAATCAAAGATTCTACATTTTTTGTTGCTGGTGCGTTATTTGGCAGGAAGTATTCAATATGGTAATTCAAGTAGCAAAATGTTTTTAAAAGTCGTGCGGTGGGGGGGGGGGGCCTCTCTTCGCCAATCAGTAAGGTAGACTTAGATAATGCTAAATGTTGTTAAATGACACACAAAAATCTAAAAATGTGTAACAGTTATAAATACATTTCTATATGTTTTGTGGCACTGATCACCCCTCCCCCTTATTACACGTATACAAACTGAGCAACTTCAGTGGAGAGGCTAGGAATAATTATGCTTCGGCTTTGCTTTCTCAAAAGCAGCTTTTCGGGGGAAATTTTCAAGCCCCCCCCCCCCCCTCCAACCCGAGAAAAAAGTGTGGAAAAACACTGCTGGGGGGGTCAAATCGGTAAAGCTCATGGTCGCTAAACCAAAGAGTCGAGTTCGAACCCTCTTGTTAGCTGGGAGAGACATCCTTTGATTGGACAAAGGCTAGCAAATCCGAAAAGAAAAGCAGGCTGAAATCGGAGTCAATGGCGCATAACGAGTTGACACGTATACTTAATTGTGCTGGTGGGGGATCCCTTCCAACACTAAAATTAAGAACGGAGAAGAAGAAGACTGTGTTAGGGATTCCCTGGCTTAAGGATGTACAAGGCAGCTACGTGTAAATGTTTGTTCCCTCTACTCTTTTCTTCTTGCTCGTGTGTTGATGGAGAAATACACAGAGGCGTAGCGACCCTTCCCGGCGCCCGGGGACAAGCTTTTCGATTTGCACCCCCCCCCCCCTCAAACTCCCCCCCCCCCCCCCCCCGCTACGCTACTGGCAATACAGCCTAGTACTAGGCACGGTACGCCAGTTGCAGACTCCAACAGTCGCCCACCTGTTTTACTCACCTGTTGTAGTAGAAAGAAGCTGCGAAATGTGAGAATGTGTGGATGTTTGCCCCTAGCTAAAGCTCTAATTTTCTTGATATGTCAGTCTGCAGGGAATTCACTTAGATTTCCCTTTCTTCTGTACTTAACTCAAAGGGGGCAGTATCACACCCTTCCCTCTGACTAAGGGAGAGAAACTAAACAATTCGCCAAAAAAACACTACAAGATATATTCTAGTCAAATATATTTAAAGGTGATTATGATTCTAGAGTTATACTAGAGCATATAATTTGCAGCATATGGAAAAAGCAAAAATCATGTTTTTAAATATTTTTCTAAATATTTAAAAATCAGAATTAATGTTTTTAATGCAATTTGCTTTAACGGGAACAACAAACACAGTATTTAATACATCTGAATTTAAAATCGTTTATTCTATATTACAGTGCGTTCGAACTCTATTATAATCATAAAAACATATTTGAAAATGTTTTAATTGAAAGTAAATGTGTTTTTAAAAAAACATAACATTCTCTATGACAGGGGTCGGCAACCTGCGGCTCGCGAGCCGCATGCGGCTCTTTTGATATCAAGATGCGGCTCTCCAGCTCCTTGAACACATACTAATAATCTTAATAAAAAATGAAATATTTGAAATAAAAAAAATGTTAGTGGCTCTTTCAAACCAGGGAAATTTTGAAAATTGTAAATTTTGGCTCTTCCGCTTCAAAAGGTTGCCGACCCCTGCTCTATGAGTATATTAAATCTACCTAATAATTAACAAGTATGGCCCGTCATGAAGGAGCTGCCAATGAAGCAGGGAGAGCTGCAACTCTACTTAAGAAAAGACCACGTGAACAGGACGAGGCTGAAGCTAAAAAGAAAGATTGCAGAAGCACTTGCTATTGGGAACATCCATACTAAATTTGCCACGCATTGTGACGCTAGTGAACAGTCCCTAGTCAAGCACAATTAGTCTGGTCACCTGGACTAAATTTTTACGAATTTGCATGTCGCTAGTTTAAATAGGAACCTGGTATATCCTTTAAAGACTTAATTGGTAGACGTTAAACTTAAAGCTTTGTTTGATGTGTCGTTCTCTAAACCTCACGCATTCTGTAAAACAGAGGTCTCCAAACTACGGCCCGCGGGCCGGATGCGGCCCGCGAAGTCCTCTCATCCGGCCCGCGGAGACCTTTTTGTCCAAGAAAAAATCGTTTGTTGGTGATGGCTGAGGAACTTTGCGCAGAAAAATCAAAGACATGCCTGGAAGAAACTGGCCCCCGAACTGAAATTTGATAGTTAATGCGGCCCTCGGACTGAAAAGTTTGGAGACCCCTGCTGTAAAAGATCTGTTCTATTTGAATTACTTTGCTCTATTGCGTGTTTTTATCAACATAACGCTAGGAAACTACTGCACTAGATTTAGAACATAACATGTAGTGAAAACATTTGAATACATGTTTTTTTTAACACTCTTTTATTTAGACATTTACAACTTCATTATGAAAATACAGAGCATTAAAAATTTACTTTGACAAATCAAATATAAAAATAAATGCATGGTTGAAAGATAAAAAATCATCACACTAACACCCAAAAAGCACATACATTAATAAAATGCTAACACAATAACAGAAACTATATGACAAAAAAGTCTTCACAAAGATCAATTACCATTTTTACAAGCGGATGATAATGAAATTAACAAATGATGTTTTTAGGTCTACATATACATAACAGAAACAATTTACCCAAATAAAGAACAGTTATACAGTCATAAAAAGTTAAAAAAATAATCTCTAACAAAAGCTGCTCTACCTCTCCTTGTTATGACAGGTAAATGTTAAACATTGCACACAAAATAGTTCACATTTCAATAGTACTTATATGATGACACTTTATACGAGGTAAGAAAATATTTAAAGTAAGTAAAGGTAAACTTTGGAACCTGACGATCCATGCGACAGGTGAAGGAGAGTTCATCTTTTTATGTGACCTTGAATTTTCAACAACACTGGAATTGGAAATAACTTTACTTTCTCTAACTTATGTGAGGTACTAATTAGAGCTGGGTTGACTCGGAGATTCCTAAAAACTCACTGAATTAGGTTATAAACAGAATTTTAAGTCCAGCTGACTTGACCAATCTCATTGTATAGTTCAACTGTAAAACATCATGAAACAAAAACAAACAAGGAGATGTTCACAAAAATAGCTAGCAGAAAACATTTTCACATTGAATGGAAACAGAATGTTAGTTAATAATACGTCAAAAAAGATTACACTATTTTAAAAACAAAAGGCAGCCTATACAATGGCAGTGAATGCAAACACTGTTGATTTAAAAGATAATATAATGTTATAGTTATAGTAAAAAAAAAATATTTCGCTAAATCAAAATAAGTGGATTCATTCTAAAAATTTGAAGTTATACTTTTATACTATACACCTGTTTAATAAAACTGAAGCATCAATATATAATTAATCAATATTTTGCACATTAATCAACAAATCAATATTTTGGACCTTGATCAACCAATTATTTTCCAAACATTTCTCATTCCTGGATAATTTGGTCAGTCATTTATTCCTTCAACTTTTGGCGTAGTCTGGCGTATTCTCTTAGCCTGAAACACATTATTTTTTAACAATTAGAATTTGTTCATTAATGTTGCAAAGTATCAAACACTACCAAACAAACCACTCCAACACCTACCAACTAACACAAATAATAACAACTAAAAATCAGATTTTTATCAATTCTATTTCTGAACCAGCTTGCAGTAAAAACTAACTGCACCTTTTTTTTGTTTAAACGCACAACCTGATTGACACAAAACCACATAAATAAAACAAACTGGTAAAACTAAATAGACATGAATCACATAATTAAAACTAATTAGTAAAACTGGACACACATGAATCACATAAATAAAACAAACTGGTAAAACTGAATAGACAAGAATCACATAAATAAAAAGGGGTTGGCGTGGTCAAGTCGGTAAAGCTCATGGTTGCTAAACCGAAAAGTCTCGAGTTCGAACCCTTGGGCAGATGAGGCTCGTTAGCTGGGGACAGCCACTTTTCTAGGAGAGACAACTCCAAAATCAAACAACTGTTGCCTTGTCGTTTGTTCTTGGTTGGACAAAGGCTATGGAAGCAAATCCAAAAAGAAAAGCAGGCTGAAATCGGAGTCAATGGCCTCAATGGCGCATAGCCAGTTGACACGTATCCTTAATTGTGATGGAGGCGTGGTCGAGTCGGAAAAAGCTCATGATTGATAAATTCGAAAAAGTCTCGAGTTCAAACCCTCTGGCAGATAAGGCTCGATCCCTTCCAACACTAAAAATTAAGAACGAAGAAGAAGAAATAAAACAAACCTAAGGGCATTGATCTTGATGAAACCTCCAGCCTCATGAGGCTCATAGTCTCCTTGTACGTTCATGCTGAAAGTTGATAACATACATGTTCAAAGTTGATAACATGCATGTTCAAAGTTGATAACATGCATGTTCAAAGTTGATAACATGCATGTTCAAAGTTGATAACATACACGTTCAAAGTTGATAACATACACGTTCAAAGTTGATAACATACACGTTCAAAGTTGATAACATACAAGTTCAAAGTTGATAACATGCATGTTCAAAGTTGATAACATACACGTTCAAAGTTGATAACATACATGTTCAAAGTTGATAACAAACACGTTCAAAGTTGATAACATACAAGTTCAAAGTTGATAACATACAAGTTCAAAGTTGATAACATACAAGTTCAAAGTTGAAAACATAACACGTTCAAAGTTGACAACACACATGTTGACAACCTAGACAACAGTGCAGTACTTTAACGAGCCACAAGTGGATGAACATTGTAATGCCAGATGTATTGAAAGTCAGACGACTCACCTGACCAGCTCCCTGTTGTACAGAGAAAGTGGCGACCTCCTGCCCAGGATGTACACGCCCCCTTTAAAGAGTTTTAGAGTTACCACCCCTTCTACATGCTCCTGGCTTTTGTTGATGCAAAATCTGGTGAACTCACACTCTGGGCTAAACCAGAACCCTGAAAGTTATGGTAAAATCTGTTGAACTCACACTCTGGGCTAAACCAGAACCCTGAAAGTTATGGTAAAATCTGGTGAACTCACACTCTGGGCTAAACCAGAACCCTGAAAGTTATGGTAAAATCTGGTGAACTCACACTCTGGGCTAAACCAGAACCCTGAAAGTTATGGTAAAATCTGGTGAACTCACACTCTGGGCTAAACCAGAACCCTGAAAGTTATGGTAAAATCTGGTGAACTCACACTCTGGGCTAAACCAGAACCCTGAAAGTCAGGCAAATGTTAAACCACAAGTCTAAAAGTTATGTCAGGTAAATGTTAAACCACGACCCTGAAAGTTATGTCAGGTAAATGTTAAACCACGACCCTGAAAGTCAAGAAATGTTAAACCACAACTCTGAAATTTATGTCAGGTAAATGTTAAACCAGAACCCTGAAAGTTATGTCAGGCAAATGTTAAACCAGAACTCTGAAAGTCAGGCAATTGTTAAACCAGAACCCTGAAATTTACTACAGGCAAATGTTAAACCAGAACCCTGAAAGTTATGTCAGGTAAATGTTAAACCAGAACCCTGAAATTTATGACAGGATTGACAGGTACATGTTAAACCACAACCTTAAAAATCAGGCAAATGTTAAACCACAACCCTCAAAGTCATGATAGGCATTTGTTAAACCAGAAAATCATGACAGGAATATTTATATTTAACTAAAACTAGGAAGACAATACAGGCACATATTGTTAAAGTCCAAGTGTAACAAAATAGTGTTGATGTAGAGTGAGGAGTTTGTTTTAAAACATCAATCAGACTAGAAATTCAAAGACCATTTTTCAGAAATTTTCCAATATGCAACTTCTCTCAAAAACACACGTTTGAGAAAATTCAATATTCTGAAGAAAAAAAAATATAGAAAAATTAAATTAGCAGAATTAAATGACAGACATTTGAGTCTGTCACTTACAAAAAAATATTTCTAGAGAATTATTTTAAAAAATGAAACTAATTATAATTTTTTTGAAAACCAAATTAAAAGTTTTTCCTTGTGTTACCTTTATATACTTGATCTCCAAACTGAACATCCAGGGTTCTCTTGATTTTTCTCATTTCCTGCAGGAAAAAAAATAGTTGCAAATATTTTGTTACAAAATCAATTGCTGTGGGCTCGCTTTATCAATGTATGTTATAGTAATACAACACCTTATACAGGAAAGTTGTAATTTAATTTCTTTTAAAAAAGATTAAAGGTTTGTAATAATCCCAACATATCACTATTGTTATTTTTAATCTCTGTTTTTAAAAGAACACCAGTTTAAAATAAAAATCCATGTTTTTGAATAACATACCACACCACTTTCAAATATTAATCCATGTTCTAAAAGAAAAATGTAACATACCCTGTCCATTGTGAAAACTTCAATATCTGTATGAGCTGCTATGAGAATGGTGCCACCTGGAGTCTCGTAAATACCTGGGACAGGAAGTTTAATTCAATCTTTAGATTCTTGTAAGATTCTTTAATAAAAAGCAAGCAGATAAGTAATAGGGGCCGTGTGGTTGAATGGTAGAACTTGTGACTACAAACTCAAAAGTCTCAAGTTCAAATTCCAGGCTTGAGTCTGTAAGACGTCCATGATTTCAAATAACTCTGATGGGAAACTGACTCATGTTAGATAAACTGAGTCAGCTGGGCATAGTGCTGAACATACTATCCCTTGTAGACAGAGGTCATAGTAACAGATAAACTCTACTTCTTCTGCCCCATGTGTCTTGGGCACAAACAGGAAAAGATGATGACAAAGATGCTGATGTGTTGTAACTACAGTCATGTAGAACAGCAGAGATTACATACAAACAAGCAGAATTAGATAACTACAGTGATGTAGAACAGCAGAGATTACATACAAACAAGCAGAATTAGATAACTACAGTGATGTAGAACAGCAGAGATTACATACAAACAAGCAGAATTAGATAACTACAGTGATGTAGAACAGCAGAGATTACATACAAACAAGCAGAATTAGATAACTACAGTGATGTAGAACAGCAGAGATTACATACAAACAAGCAGAATTAGATAACTACAGTCATGTAGAACAGCAGAGATTACATACAAACAAGCAGAATTAGATAACTACAGTGATGTAGAACAGCAGAGATTACATACAAACAAGCAGAATTAGATAACTACAGTGATGTAGAACAGCAGAGATTACATACAAACAAGCAGAATTAGATAACTACAGTCATGTAGAACAGCAGAGATTACATACAAACAAGCAGAATTAGATAACTACAGTCATGTAGAACAGCAGAGATTACATACAAACAAGCAGAATTAGATAACTACAGTGATGTAGAACAGCAGAGATTACATACAAACAAGCAGAATTAGATAACTACAGTCATGTAGAACAGCAGAGATTACATACAAACAAGCAGAATTAGATAACTACAGTGATGTAGAACAGCAGAGATTACATACAAACAAGCAGAATTAGATAACTACAGTGATGTAGAACAGCAGAGATTACATACAAACAAGCAGAATTAGATAACTATAGTGATGTAGAACAGCAGAGATTACATACAAACAAGCAGAATTAGATAACTACAGTCATGTAGAACAGCAGAGATTACACACAAACAAGCAGAATTAGATAACTACAGTCATGTAGAACAGCAGAGATTACATACAAACAAGCAGAATTAGATAACTACAGTGATGTAGAACAGCAGAGATTACATACAAACAAGCAGAATTAGATAACTACAGTGATGTAGAACAGCAGAGATTACATACAAACAAGCAGAATTAGATAACTACAGTCATGTAGAACAGCAGAGATTACATACAAACAAGCAGAATTAGATAACTACAGTCATGTAGAACAGCAGAGATTACACACAAACAAGCAGAATTAGATAACTACAGTCATGTAGAACAGCAGAGATTACATACAAACAAGCAGAATTAGATAACTACAGTCATGTAGAACAGCAGAGATTACACACAAACAAGCAGAATTAGATGAGAATGAAATACCCAGTAATTAGAAAAAGTACCTCGAGATTTCATGCCAATAAATCTGTTTTCAACCAGGTCAACTCGACCTATGCCGTGTCTTCCACTGAAACAAAACATTTATAGAAATCAACGAATCACATCATTGGTCAGCTGGTCAAGTGAGACCTAGTCACTAGGTGGGAGGTGGGGGAAGAGGGTACATCCATAAATCAGTCGCAGTAGTCTAAAATGTCAGCATACCCAACCAACTCCATTTGTCATACATCATAAAATACCAGATTACCATATAATGAAAGAAACTGCAGTTTCACCCTTACTCCTCCCCCCCCCCCCCCCCAAAATACAAGGAAACCTTAAGTCTAAAGAGATTGGTATTCACCAAACAGCATTATAGTTAACACACGTCTCATTATTCCAAATATTCTCTGGCTGGCCAAAATTAGAACCTGTGGTGTACTCACCCGACCTTGTTAAGGTAAACAAAAATATCCAGGGGTTCTGTATGTTTTACTGACTCGGCAGAATTTGTCACACATACCGGGACACCTGGTCAGGTTGATCAAAACATGTAAAAAATTAGTCACATACAGAGCAGTTTCGAGTCAAATCAGCTGAAACATGTAGCAATTTTACAACAGCAAAACTAGTCAGGTATGAAATATTTTTCAAATAATGCCTGGCTGTTGTTCACAAAATGTTTAATTAATCAGGTATTAATAAATGAAGTTCAACTGCAGTTAAAGTTGTGGCTGATCTTACTGAAGAAATAGCTCAACTACCTTTGTAAGAGGTACCAATAGGTATTTTAAAGTGCCCACCTTTTTTAAACTCTATCTCAATCACATCTGCCTTGTCCGGGGCTTTCTCAGGGTCAGTGGTCATTTGGAACAGGTCATCAGGTGCATGGTGGTCAGGATCTTCAAGAACACCTGACTCATAGCTGAAAAAATATGTAAACAATGAAATGAATAATTGAAAAATTATTGGGCCATTGCAGGTATTTTTTCATTTTTAAATTTTGTAGATTGAATTAGATATTTGACTAGTCTTATTGGACTAAACTATTTTTTTAATCAAATGATTTGTGTTTAAATCTATACAGGAAATAAATATTTCTGATAAACTATTGGTTTTAACAATTAATAATGATCCCAAGTAAAAAATAACTAATATTCTACATCAAATTTTATTCAAAATTAAACCCATGTCAGAAATTCTTTTTATTGAACAAAAATGTATAATCTATTTTATTAATCTAAAACACATTATATTTAACCAAAATCTCAACATTTTGAACCCACCAGGATAATTGAAGTAAATATTTTATATCATTATTTAAAGTTTGTTAAATAATTTTTTTCCTCTATATTTAGGGTACAATTTTAGTCTAGAATATAAACAAAGTGTGAAAAACAATATGGGCAAGTGTGATATGGGCTAGGTAAAATGTTTTCACCTAATGTGTAAGTGAGATAGGGGCTAGGTAAAATGTTTTCACCTAATGTGTTAGATAGGGGCTAAATAAAATGTTTTCACCTAATGTGTGAGATAGGGGCTAAATAAAATGTTTTCACCTAATGTGTGAGATAGGGGCTAGGTAAAATGTTTTCACCTAATGTGCAAGTGAGATAGGGGCTAGGTAAAATGTTTTCACCTAATGTGCAAGTGAGATAGGGGCTAGGTAAAATGTTTTCACCTAATGTGTAAGTGAGATAGGGGCTAAATAAAATGTTTTCACCTAATGTGCAAGTGAGATAGGGGCTAAATAAAATGTTTTCACCTAATGTGTGAGATAGGGGCTAAATAAAATGTTTTCACCTAATGTGCAAGTGTGATAGGGGCTAGGTAAAATGTTTTCACCTAATGTGTGAGATAGGGGCTAAATAAAATGTTTTCACCTAATGTGCAAGTGTGATAGGGGCTAGGTAAAATGTTTTCACCTAATGTGTGAGATAGGGGCTAAATAAAATGTTTTCACCTAATGTGTGAGATAGGGGCTAGGTAAAATGTTTTCACCTAATGTGTAAGTGTGATAGGGGCTAGGTAAAATGTTTTCACCTAATGTGTGAGATAGGGGCTAGGTAAAATGTTTTCACCTAATGTGCAAGTGAGATAGGGGCTAGGTAAAATGTTTTCACCTAATGTGTAAGTGAGATAGGGGCTAGGTAAAATGTTTTCACCTAATGTGTAAGTGAGATAGGGGCTAGGTAAAATGTTTTCACCTAATGTGTAAGTGAGATAGGGGCTAGGTAAAATGTTTTCACCTAATGTGCAAGTGAGATAGGGGCTAAATAAAATGTTTTCACCTAATGTGTGAGATAGGGGCTAAATAAAATGTTTTCACCTAATGTGCAAGTGAGATATGGGCTAGGTAAAATGTTTTCACCTAATGTGTAAGTGAGATAGGGGCTAGGTAAAATGTTTTCACCTAATGTGCAAGTGAGATAGGGGCTAGGTAAAAATGTTTTCACCTAATGTGCAAGTGTGATAGGGGCTAGGTAAAATGTTTTCACCTAATGTGTGAGATAGGGGCTAGGTAAAATGTTTTCACCTAATGTGTAAGTGAGATAGGGGCTAGGTAAAATGTTTTCACCTAATGTGCAAGTGAGATAGGGGCTAGGTAAAAATGTTTTCACCTAATGTGTAAGTGAGATAGGGGCTAGGTAAAATGTTTTCACCTAATGTGTAAGTGAGATAGGGGCTAAATAAAATGTTTTCACCTAATGTGTAAGTGAGATAGGGGCTAGGTAAAAATGTTTTCACCTAATGTGTAAGTGAGATAGGGGCTAGGTAAAATGTTTTCACCTAATGTGTAAGTGAGATAGGGGCTAAATAAAATGTTTTCACCTAATGTGTAAGTGTGATAGGGGCTAAATAAAATGTTTTCACCTAATGTGTAAGTGAGATAGGGGCTAAATAAAATGTTTTCACCTAATGTGTAAGTGTGATAGGGGCTAGGTAAAATGTTTTCACCTAATGTGTAAGTGTGATAGGGGCTAGGTAAAATGTTTTCACCTAATGTGCAAGTGAGATAGGGGCTAGGTAAAATGTTTTCACCTAATGTGCAAGTGAGATAGGGGCTAGGTAAAATGTTTTCACCTAATGTGTAAGTGTGATAGGGGCTAGGTAAAATGTTTTCACCTAATGTGTAAGTGTGATAGGGGCTAGGTAAAATGTTTTCACCTAATGTGTAAGTGAGATAGGGGCTAGGTAAAATGTTTTCACCTAATGTGTAAGTGTGATAGGGGCTAGGTAAAATGTTTTCACCTAATGTGTGAGATAGGGGCTAAATAAAATGTTTTCACCTAATGTGCAAGTGTGATAGGGGCTAAATAAAATGTTTTCACCTAATGTGCAAGTGAGATAGGGGCTAGGTAAAATGTTTTCACCTAATGTGCAAGTGTGATAGGGGCTAAATAAAATGTTTTCACCTAATGTGCAAGTGTGATAGGGGCTAAATAAAATGTTTTCACCTAATGTGCAAGTGAGATAGGGGCTAGGTAAAATGTTTTCACCTAATGTGCAAGTTAGATACGGGCTAGGTAAAATGTTTTCACCTAATGTGCAAGTGTGATAGGGGCTAGGTAAAAATGTTTTCACCTAATGTGCAAGTGTGATAGGGGCTAGGTAAAATGTTTTCACCTAATGTGCAAGTGTGATAGGGGCTAGGTAAAATGTTTTCACCTAATGTGCAAGTGTGATAGGGGCTAAATAAAATGTTTTCACCTAATGTGCATCAAGTTAGCATCCATGCTCCATGGGCTTTTCAGTGTGACAGGAAGTGGAATCCCATGGTGCTGTTAATAATGACAAGTTTTACTAATGTCAAGCTTTTATCCTATGACAAATTCCATCTAATAACAAGTTTCCATCTAGTTAAATAATGTAAAGATGTATTTTTATTATTATTATAGAACACAGTTTCAAATTTTTCCTGGCTGAGAATGTGAAGCCAGACTTTCACTCACCTTTGCATATTCAAAAAGGTCAGTGCGACCTTTGAATCTGTTATAAAACTCTGGCTGTCTCCAAGGGGAGATCACCTTAAACAACATTCATAATATTGTTTATAACTCCAATTAAACAACAATAAGCAGTGTATCAGTGTAATTCTAATGTTTAACATAATATTCAAATAATATTTAATAATTGGATATTTTTACTGCCTAAAATATACAAGTAGTTCAACTTGCAACATGTGAATTCCCATGAAGTAGGGATGCTTTAATTATTTTAGTAGTTATGAAGTATTTAAGTCTTTACATATATGTAAACAAAGCTGGAATTAATTCACCAAATAAACAATCTATTTCCTGTAAATGGTCATTTATTTTTGTAGATTAAGATATTTTAATTTTTTTTACACATGATTTTCTTTTTATGCTAAGTAGTAAGGAAACATTGTAATACAAGCCAATTGAACATCTACAATTTAATAAAAATTATTAGATTTTTAAAGTTATTTCTCCTCATTGATACTCTAAAATTTTAAAAACAATAGTTTTCACTTCAATGGTACTTTTTCTTTTGTTAATAAACAAGTAAAGGGAAATAAGCAAGCAGGTGTGCGAGAAAACATTTATTACTTCCCCTGAAATGACTAACCTCAATCCCTGGATGAAGAGCATAGGCACCAAGTTCAAATCTAATCTGGTCATTTCCTTTCCCAGTGGCGCCATGTGTAACATAGTGGGCGCCTTCATCCTTGGCCACTTGGACCATGCCCCTGTAATGAGGAGTATCACAAAACATGTTTATCAAATTCTAAAATTTCAATTGATGCATTCAGGAGGAATAGCCTTCAATTCACTCACTATGGGGCTTATAAAAAACTGCACCATTTTTATAAGCATTAATTTAGTTTACGACTAGTATGATGCATCATATACCCACACTGCAAAAAACTAGGTCGGTTTTAGAAAATTGTTTTGTAAGGTTGCTTTTTATTTATTCAAACTGTATTTTGTATCATTTCAAATTTCAAACTATGTTGAATAAGGCACTAATTATTTTTTTTCAAATTGAGTAAAAGGAGATAACCGAGTTTTTACCTTGTGATCAGGGGCCGAGCGAGTGATGTCCCCAGAAGATATCTGTCTTCATACGTGGCGTTGGCTTGTATAGCAGGCCATATAAACTCTTCTACAAATTCTTTGCGCAGGTCAAGGATTACCATCTGATGTTTTGAAAGAAAGTTCGATTATGTACTTTCATTACTAGATAGTAAACTAAACAATGTTAACAAGTAATTGTATTAATTGTTAAATAACAAATGAATAACATAAATAGGTCTAGCTACATATAGTTCAGCTAGCATAAAGTTATGCATGTTTACACACAAGTAGGAGGAAAACATTTTGCGACATAGTGCTTTTGAATTGGCAGTTTACAATGAAACTGACCCAAAACAGGAACTGATCCAGAAGAGTTAGGAACTGACCCACAAGACAGCTAGGAACTGACAAACAAGACAGCTAGGAACTGACAAACAAGACAGCTAGGAACTGACCCACGAGACAGCTAGGAACTGACCCACAAGACAGCTAGGAACTGACCCACAAGACAGCTAGGAACTGACAAACAAGACAGACACACTAGACAGCTAGGAACTGACCCACTAGACAGCTAGGAACTGACCCACTAGACAGCTAGGAACTGACCCACTAGACAGCTAGGAACTGACCCACTAGACAGCTAGGAACTGACCCACGAGACAGCTAGGAACTGACCCACTAGACAGCTAGGAACTGACCCACTAGACAGCTAGGAACTGACCCACGAGACAGCTAGGAACTGACCCATAAGACCGTCAGAAGAGACCCATGAGAGCCAAGTAGAGACCCACATGACCGTCAGTAGAGACCCACAGAGACCCAAGAGAGAAAAGCAGGAAACTCACGAAACAGATATGAACTAACCCACTCAACTAAAAGTGACCCCCCCCCCTTCAGAGAATAGCCACAAGTGGCTGGACTGACAATGACAGTCATTGACATCAGGCTCAACTTATACTAAACTTTACATAACATTGATAACCCATCCTCGCTATGTTAGCAATATACTTTTTAAAATATGTGAATGAATTATTTTTTCCCTATTTCTTACATCTAGAAAAAACTATGAATCAAAAGCATGTGGCGATATCCTGGTATGTATGGGACCGGCAGTGGAAAGGAGAAAAACAAGATTCAATGTAAACACAGTTCTCGTGTGTGATTGTAAACACTGTCGCCTATTGTGTTGACCTATTTCATAAATGTGTCATTCCGTGAAAACAAGATCAGCTGATCACCCACGGTGTATTTTTAGCAACGTTAGGGGAGACGACTACCAGTGAGTAAATGTATCTTAATTTTGTTTTGTTAACGTAACCAAAGGGCACGAACCCTAACACAGAAGGTCAAGGTCTAAACGTTGTTTACATCCTGCACGCTACACAGTATTTTTTTTTACTCGTTCACAACAAAAGTACATTTAGGTAAGCCGAGAAACATAGTGGATGTTATTAATAGGCCAATGAATTCAGACCAGCAAAACAAAGTTCAGCCAGCATTAAGTCGATACGGCTGTAACGATAGCAACAGTCAGACGTTAAGTTTACAGTTTTAACTAGTGCAAATACATTGTCATCAAAGGCTAAAGAAACGGAAAGCATTTAGGGTTAAAATGTTTAAAATCTATACGGCTAGGATTTTGGACCATGCTAAATAAAAAAAATGATATGATTATTTGTAACAAAAACTATGTCTGATTGTTCCGTAAAAATCATCAATGTGTGCAAGTAAGAAAACCTGGTTGTAATTTTTAGATATATTTATTTTTGCCGGCCTTGCTGTTTATGTTACGATATGCAGCGATACTAGCTGGTTAGGCTTGGGGCCAGAGTTTCTTCCAGGCATCTCTTCGGGGGGGACGAAGCCCCCCCCCCCCCGCAAAATTTTTACCCCCCCCCCCCCCCCGAACGAAATGAAATTTATATAATTTATATAGAAAATATATACTTTTAACAGTTTCCGCCCCCCCCCCCCCGGAGAAAAAAGTCTGGAAGAAACACTGGTTGGGGCCCTGGGAGCCATACAGTACTGGGTACTATATATACAATATGCAGGCGTTTTTACACTAACCAAAAAAACCACAGTATGTAATTCTAACCAAAATAGCTGTCTGTTTGCTGCAGAATTCCAGATGTTTACAGATCTTTAAGTGACTGTAGTTTTTATGAGGTCAAGGTGACAGAAACCCACACACACACACACAAAGACGCAGGAACACTGTATCGAACATCTATACATTATTTCAACCCTTCCCACATGCCCCTCCCTCCCCACACTATCACCTATCAAATAAAGCCACGCTGATACAAAATAAAGTCACGCTTTTAACCAACTTGATATAAATATTTATCCCATGCAAGTCAGTAAAAATATTGTGGCACTATGACATGTGACCAATTGGTCAACTAAACTGTTCAATGTAAATACAGTTAACCTTTACCGAACTTCTGTGGTTAAAAACGTGTTTACATCTTATTTTTTTAATCACCCTATTTTTAACTGACCGATTTTTTTTAAGCTAGCTCCATAGTCGATGTAAACAATATCAAATTTGGGCACGAGGCATGTCTTGTTATTGTGTGTTAACCGGATTAGTTGTTTCCTTGTCCACTTCTGTTTACACACACACACGCACACACACACGAACATAAACAACCCTGAGATGTAAGCCTCCTTTTTTCTATTTTTGTCCCTTTTGCTTGATATCTTGTGTGATCAGTTTATATCACATTATTATTAATTAATGTTTTTTTAGTATTAAAGAAAAATTTTTTAAAAATCCTACTTAATTTTAAAAAAATAACGTTTCTTTCTAACGTCTAAACTTGATTTGTTTACTTGTGTTTGTGTACACAGTGAATTGTATGTAATTTTCCATCCTATACGTGTTAGGGGCATGTAACCTATACTTCGGTGTATAATTTATAGTTAAAAGTATGTTAGTCTATTTTATTATAACGATGTGTGGGTGTGTACTGAATTTATGTACTATAAATGTGTGTACAATAAAGATGTGTACCAAGTATATGTGTACAATAAAGATGTGTACCAAGTATATATGTACAGTGTATATCTTAAAACTGCTGACTGTGTAAATGATGCGGTCACGGATTCTTCACGCCCCCCCCCCCCCGGTCTATGCAGCCTGTGATGTGACGAGGTGAGAACAAGGTGTGACTAACACCAGAACGGTGTCAGCAGGTGACACACACCACGTGATGATGGTGACACCCAATGCAAAGCACGCCGTCCATAACATTAAACCAGGGGCGTAGCGAGGGGGGGGGGCGGACCGCACCGGGTGACACCGTTTAGGGGGGTGATACCAAGGCAAAAAATAGCAAAATATATTGAGAAAAATGATAATTCCACTTAAGTGATTAATTCGAGTGTTAAATAGAGGTGCAAATCGAAAGTTTGAGGGGGGGTGCAAATCGAAAGTTTAAGGGGGAGGGTGCAAATCGAAAGTTTGAATGGGGGGGGGGGGCGCAAATCGAAAATTTGTCCCCGGGAAGGGTCGCTACGCCTCTGGGGGGTGACACCATTAAGTGCCGCACCGGGTGACACCCGACCTCGCTACGCCACTGCATTAGACAATGGTCAGGGTCGAGAGCCATTGGTCAGGAATTTTTTTTTAATGCATGTCAGATTTATCGTACCGGTTATTTTATAACTTCCTACCCTCTATAGTGATCATTAATCAAAATATTGATGCTAATGATATTGTTTGTCGTGTCAACATCACTGAGTGAAGCGAGATCACCCACAATGACCAAGTTAGTTCACTCCCTTGCAATATTTTGTTTACAAAAGAAAAGGCCATTGACCTTTCAAAAGACGGTCAGCGTGTTTATTTGAAAATGTAAAAAAAAAAATTACAGCTATTTAGACACAATATTTTTTTTTTTACTCCCATTAATGATGATTTTCTTTTTTTTTTACTTGAGTGTCGTGCAAACCTATAGCCTAGTGCCTATCCTGCATAGCTGGGCCACCCATTGCAAGTGTTTAGTACGTCGATACCTTGTTTAACTTGAATTACATCCAATTATGTAGCTAGCGCGGTGTGAAAGTTGGGATGGGATTGTGTGTAGTTAGGCTAGGGATTGATCGTCTCGCTTGACGATGTTGCTATGGGTAGCACGCAAAGGATGACTGAGTGTGATTAGTGTGAAAAGACCTAGGCCTGTGGATGTAGGGTTAAAGCAGACCAGGTGGATGTGAATATCCAATAGTGGTGGTAGGAGGGGGGTAGATTATGTTGACATGGTTAAAAAACGAAAATGCCAAGTTAATTAGCTCAGTAATTATTTTTTTAATGATGGTGACGATCTTATAAGCAAGTCATTACACCATGCACAGAGTGGATCTTTCAGTAGCGTCAGTGGGTGGACACCGGTAAAGGGAGGGGGTTGGACGGGGGTGGACACGGGTCGAGGGAGGGGGGCGCACATTCCGTGGCACTATCCAAGAGGGATGACACCAAAACTAAAATCGCAAAATTGAGAAAATCTGTTTTATGTAACAATTTAATATATACCCCTCAACACACACCCATATTACATAACCGACATCATTAAGCACTAAGTGGCACCTTCTGGGGTACGGGTTAAACCTGATTGGGCAACAATCAACAACAGCTTGATTGTTACTGATATGGATGAGCAGTTTTTACAGTGATTAGCTATGAGAAATGACAGTTGTGCTCCTTACAGTAGAAAGTAACATGTTTACTTTTCACTTTTATCTGTGTGTACATACATATACTGTTGTATACACATGTACTGTTATATACAAATGTACTCTTTACACATGTATGCACTGTAGATATGCAACACATATACTAATGTACATGTACATTGTTCACACAGGTACTGTTGATGTGTGAATAAACTCTCTTCACAGTGCAAGAAGTACAGTATGAATTTTCTTTAATATCAATATCTATATAATACACATACAAACATACTTTTAATTCTAGCCCTCTACTTATTTTAAACAGATATGTTTGAGTTTGTTATATATGTACACTCAACTGAAATAGTTTGACTTGAGGCTTTTGTTTTAAAATGAGGGTTGAGGTGAATTATGATAGTTAAAAAAGGCTAATGATAAAAATAAAATGTATGCCTCATTCAAGCCTTACACACGCAAGACAGAGGGGTGGCACTCATTAGCCAGAGGTGACTAATTTTGTGACAGTATTCAAATCGCACTGACCTTAAGAGCCCCAAATTTCACAGCCTTTTCTCTAACTGCGTCAAAGTCTTCTTCTTGCCCAATGTTAGCCTGAAAAATTAAATTCAGGATTACATTTTGTCATGAGATATATTTTGATGTGCTCATATATAAAAACTGATTTAGAAATCAAAATAAAGTATTTGCAATCTTGCCTTAATAAATACAAAATAATGGCAGTTAACAGGCCTTTATTAAAGGGTATTGATTTCTGTTATATTTATATTTATAGTACAAATAATGAAAGTAGAAATTAACTAAAATTATTAGGCCCTAGTCATAACCTATTAACTTTATATTAGTAAATGCAGGAAATTAATAGATTAATATTATTAAGCCCTATAGTAATTGGGAAGTATATTTTTATAGGCATATTTAGAGTAACTAATTCAAATTTTATCAATAGTTTTTTGTTTTAAAACACCATAGGAAAATAATGCAATGTAGGCCTACTACTTTTATATTAAGATTTTTTTTTATTGTATTACATGGTCAAGTATAGGGCACCGCAATTAAAAAATATGATATTGTCTAGGCCCTATTGGTAATTTTTCAATGATCAAAAAAGATAAAGGCATTACAAGGTTTTTTATCCCACACTGTAATGCTTGTTTGGTACTTTTTGTGGTCAAATTTTTAACGACAATCCGATAACAAAAATTCAATCTAAAATTCCAATAAATTAGTCATGAAAGTAATAATATACAGAGTTTCTTTCAAAAATTTCCTCAGTGGACAGTGTCCCTCACTGCACTTTCACCACCCATACTCAAGAAAACATAAATTATCTAATTGATGAAGAGACATATGTTAACCCGTTCCGTCCTTTTTAATAATAATTTATATAGGCCCTAGGCTATTATAAATTATGTGGTTATTTCAAAATCAACTTACCAAATATGCAACAACTTCATAGCCCTGTTCGATGAGCCACACTAAAATGGTGGAAGTATCAAGGCCACCACTGTAGGCAAGCACAACCCTTTTTTTACCAGCGTTTTCTCCAGACATTGTACTTTTGTTTTTACTGCAAAAATTACTGTATTTCAGAAATAATTACTCCACATCTAGATCTAGTTGAGTTCAAGAGATTGAGAAGTGATTAAAAGACGAATGTTGAAGTTATATGAACAGAATTGAAATCACAAAAGTGACAAGTTATTTAATATTATTTATTATGAAGATCAATATTGAATTATTGTCATAAAGCCGCAAATTTGAACCGATGAGGAAATAGAAATTACTACACACTACACAGTCTTTAGAGAAATAGATCTACGGTTGGACTTGTAAACAAGCTCAACCTTCGTTGACATACAAATCTTTTTTTTTTTCTTTTGACCAAATCGATGCGAGCGTCCCTGTTTTATACAGCGAGGAAAGTTCCGTTATCGGCGTTACCAACAACGCGTATAAGAAAACTTTGGTTCGCCTAACTTTGTTTCGTTCCTATTTGTTGTTTTTCAGCCAGGTTTCCTACCATTTTTTTTTTCTGTTTCGAGTAAACAATTATTTTGGCACTATTTATTATTTATCTGTGTTGTGTTATTTAGTTGGCTAATAAATAGGCTACTGATTACACTGTAGTTATTTTTATTTATGAAAATTGTATGGAAGTGTAGTTTCACAATACTTTATCCTAGTTTAATGCATGGTTTATGTTGTTGTTTTTGACTGACTTATTATTAAAAAAAATTGCATTTGAAAACATTTACGTAACTTGCCTTAATTTTATTGTTGTAATCTAATTGGTGTAAAAAAATTTAGGTTAACCATCCAGGAAATTAAACCATCAGAAAGCTCAAAACACGCAGTAAAAACATTGTTGTTGTCTTATTATTTTTTTTAAACTATTTAAATTGAAGATTTAATCAAGCTTTGGCGTATAATTGATAAACGTTATTAAACAATACGTAACACTTTCTCCGGGAGGAGGCATTGAAACTTTCGGGGAGGGGGGGGGGAGACTTAAACTTCCGGGGGGGGGGGGGGGCACTAGGTGAAGTATATATTAAGAAAACAAGTATATTTGATTTGGGGCAGCGGTTAGACGAGCTTCGTGGGCGATGCCCCTCCCCCCTCCTCCGAAGAGATGCCTGAAAGAAATTCTGGATACATAAACTACTATTTTGATTTTACTTCATCATACAAGCAACCCCAGCCACCCTCGCCTCCTCCACACACAAACACGCAATTAAAAAAAACCGTGTACTAATAAGTTTTGACCGACGACTGCGACGAGATGTTACATATTATAATGATGGCAATAACAAACATGGGATTTGAATATGTTTGACATCTAACCAAAATGGTAATTAATGATTATTACTTAGAAATGTATAATGTTGTTTATTACCACAATATGACAAAACACAATGTGGTAAAAGAATAGCATCCAATGATGGTGAATGAACTTTTACCGTGTTATATTTTTTAAAGATATAAGCCAACTTTCTTCATGACATTTGACAAATTAATTAATTAATTGAAAATTTGCATTTTCCTTTGATGAATGTTTCAAACTAACAATGAATCAACGCAGAGAGTCACACTCTATATACGATTCTTATTTTGTAATATCATCAACATGTACATAACACTATTCTCCTCAACTAAAATAGTGTCTCTTTTAGATATTTTGTCCGGTGGGTGAGAAAACGGGATTGTTAATGAAAATTATTTTTATTCTAAACATTTGAAATATTGTTTATTAGTCCGGAAGGTGGTATGCAGGTGTGGGCTCCGATCTAACTATAAAAATGAAGAAAAAAATAAAATTGAATATAATTTTCTTAAAAGAGAATTGTTTTAGTTACTATAAATTGCCTAGCTCAACCGTGTGGTACTAATGTGCTACACAGTAGCGTAGCGAGGGGGGGGGGGCGGGACGACGACATATGTCCCCGGGCGCCGACCTTAGGGGGCGCCAAAATGGGTTGGAAAAAATAAATTGAAAGGTTGAGGGGGGTGCAAATCGAAAGTTAGAGGGGGGATGGGTGCAAATCGAAATCTTGAGGGGGGTGCAAATCGAAAAGTTTGTCCCCGGGCGCCGGGAAGGGTCGCTACGCCTCTGGAGCTACAGGAAGTGGTGAATCCGGTAATGTACAGAATATGTTTGTAAGTCCCATAATTTTGTTTAGAGAGATGGGTTTATGTGCGTGTTATGGTTTCAGTATTGAGATAGCCGATAAGTTCGTAAAAATAAAAGTCAAATAAAATTGAATTACATTTTCAAGTACTTTATTGCAAACCGATGGCCGTAAGCTACTCTTCTTAGATATATCGATCGACGTAACTCAGTATCGTCATCCACTAAGAATCATATGTTATTAATGGCTATCTTTGGATTATATATATATATAAAATATATACTTGTTTATATATAAATATATATCATATCTATATGGTGCCGTTTTCTCATTATTAAAATTATTTACTGCCACATTAATAGAGCTACATAATTTATTTAATTGAGCCTTGCTGGAGATAGCATTTTGAGTTGTTTCTTTTAATTAATTGCATAGAACTTTATATCGAACGCTTTAAAAAAAAATCACACTGGCAAATTTCTTCCTATATTCACGTCATTTTACTATAGTTTGAAGCATCACGAGTATAAAATTTAACATTTTAGGACCTAGTAGCCTAATGGGCCATTATTTCTTAGGTTTCGTGTTAACTTACATTAAAGGACAATCGGGCAACTGATAACGTCATATTTTTAGTTAACTTTACACCGGAAGTAATGTGTTTCATATTGGTGCAATAGACGGACACGATGTAAGTAACATTTGTTGTAAAATTTGTTGTGTATGAACTAAATAATAATTGTTTCTTGTTTATATATGTAAATCTGTTAAATATGTGTTTTCTTTTAGGACTAGCGGGAAAAGTTGGGCCGAACAGGTTGATCAGGGGGATGAAGGTATGTTCAATATGTCTTAGAATTCCACATCTAAATTTCTAAAATGTTCAAGCGCAGGGCCGTGCCGGCTGTAGAAATCGTCAGCTAGAAGATCTAGATCTAGATCTTGAATCCAAGATTCTAGACTCATTCTAGTTCTACTCTTAGACACTAGTTAGTTTAGACTGTACAAGATCTGTGTCTAAACTTCAACATTTTTTGCCCCAGCATCTCCATTTGGTCGTTTCAGTGACTTTAATAGCTGGGTTAGAGTTCTGCGGATTGTATACTAGATTTCTAGATCTATATAATGACGCATGCACAGTACCATCGAAAACATCGTGACGAAGAAAAGTCATAGTTTCTCTCTAAGTCTATTGCGCATGCATATCTTTTTCCGGCTAGAATCAGCCTTATTTTTAACCTAAGACTATGGTGTTAGATTTTCTCGCTAAATCTTAAATTTACTCTATTTTCAAATTAAACATGACCACTGAATAATAGACATCCATATTTAATCCATTAGAGGAACTAATTTTGAGGTTTTTAGTTCGTTTTAAACTAAATTAGGCCTACTTAATTTAATATTAATCACTCTCAGCTATGGCACGACACACCCTGCCTTAACACAACCATGTTATATAACTTCTACGTTTGAGGCCACAGCAAACCACGAAAAGGTTCAACTTTTTAATTTGCTATGCACCAGAGTTCCTCAATAGTGATAAACCAATTAAGGGTCACATGGTTTATAAAAAATAACTTTGTAGTGATATGTGCGTTGGTCTTGTAAAAAAAACACTCACAATATTTTTCTTTTTTCATGGACAGATAAGACTAATAATGCTTTATGCCTACTTACTCGCTCATTTTTGTACCTACACTGTTGATATTTTTAAAGTTGTATTAATTTTAATGAAACCAACTTTTGAATTTAGCCTCCATTCTTCAAACCAAATTTTAAAACGCTTTTCTGCATATATAACCCTGCCACCTATTTTGCTTGTGGTAAGCATTTTAAAGAGTAATTCTAAGGTCACTGGAACTAAGTCAAAAAAATGTCTGAAGTCATGCATCTGGTGTGGATGCCATATTCTTGTTAGCGATTCTTATTTTTAAGTAAAATTTTAGTCACAGTAGTGTAGTAGAGTGAAATGTGTTGTAATTCTGTAAACAGGATTGCTTTACTTATAATAAAATATAATAACCCTATAGGACAGAGGAGAAGTGTTCACCTGTTTCTATTACCTCAGCATATGATGTATTATAAAGTGAAATTAGGGTCGGCCCTATGCCGAGCTGCTTTTACCCTCCCTAATTATATTTTACCCCAGGTGTACTACAGACTCTAGCTAGACCAGAATATGAACTGGAGATTTTCATGTTAGCACCCACACAATCAGAAAGTTATGGGTTGTTCTAAATGCATTATTTGGTTTTAAAAATCTTTTTGTTATTAATATTGGACAACTGCACGAACTTCCAATATTTCAAAATAAACATTAATTCCTATTCATGTTCTAGGCATCCTTCCTCCACCCAGTGAAGAGTATGATGAAAAGAAAGGTTTGAAGACTATTACAGAGTATAAGAATAACGAAGATGGAAAATTGATTAAGGTTTGAATAGCTTGAAGTTTTTTATAATACTAACTAGTAGTCTATTGGCTTTTGTTTTATTATTTTATTAATTTTTATTAACTATAGTTCTGCTTATTTAATAGGTGATTCGTACATTCAAGATAGAGACAGTACGTCTATCAAATTCTATAGCCATGAGAAAGGTAGGTTATTTTTTTATCATTTTTGTTCACTCATTCTATTATTTTCTTGCATTTCATTTCATCTTTTAGTATTGTCTCTTTTTGCAAAATGTTTTCAAAGTCCAGAAAAGAATCTAGTGTACTTTGCATTTTGAAGTCATAACATTATTTTTCAAAATTGTTGTGCTAAAAGCATCTCATAAAGTTCTGTATGAAATAATCCTTTTCCCGCATGAATCTACCAAAAGTTCCTATCCTGACAGCAGCCAGGCATCATGGCCGTTGGTTGTTGTACGTGATAGGGACATTAACAACGGTCACACGTACTAGAGAGCAAGGTTGAAATCCTCCATGCTCTCAATCAGTGTGTCTACACCTCTATCATTAGATCAGCCTCTGTTCTACCCTAATTTACTCAATGCCACTAAGGGGTAAAACTTCTTTCAGACATGGAAAAAGTTTGGTGCAGCTGCAGGGGATCCCCCAGGACCTAACCCATCCAACACAATTTTGACTGAAGAAGTTTTCATGCAGTTTGTACAGAACAAAGAGGTAAGTGTGGAGTGAGGAAGGCTATATATATATATACATATATATATATATATTTATTTATATATGTATATATATATACACGCTATTTGTATATACATGGATTTTTTCCATCACTTTAACTTAATTTAAGGCCTCTAAAATTCCTCCTGTTAAAAATACAGCTGACACACTTCTGTGTTCAATTTTTTTTTTTTTGTTAAATGCACTTCTAACTCTACTGGCATCTACTAATCTATGACTGTACTCTAACTTCTACCAACTTAAACCTAACCTACTAATCCATCTGTGATCTACTCGCTGCTAACTGCTCAACTTGCTCCAGCTCATTACTGATGCTTGACAGCCCCACTGACCATGACATGTGATTTCTCACGTCTCATTTGTCTACTATACTGTTGGTTCTTACTCTACATTAACTGCTTGAACAATGGCAATCAAGCCTACACTATTCTACCTTTCTCACCTCTTTTGCTCTATTTCTATTGTTGCCTAATCTTGCATCATCACATAAGGCTCTTAAAAAAAACAGTATTAATATGTATTGTGGGATTTTATTTTTTTTAAATTGTTTTATAAATTATTATAGACACCTGCTCCTGAAGAGGAAGATCCACTAAACAAACTGAAAAACCAAAAGATTGTATCTTGTAGAATTTGTAAAGGAGACCACTGGACTACTAAATGTCCGTATAAAGATACTCTACAGCCGTTACAGGTTTGTCACCTTTTTAAATAATTTCCTAGCAATTGTTTTGTCTTGAAGTGCCTAATATCTTTTAAAAATAATTACTAATACTTAATTTTAGGAAAAACTTGAAGAAGGAACGAAAAAACCAGACATTGCTCCAGTTTCATCCTCGCCGGCACCTAAACCAACTGGAGGAAAGTACATCCCACCCACATTGAGAGAGGGGGCCAACAAAGGTAGAGGGGAATCAATGGCCACACAACGGAAAGGTGGTAAGTGTTTATTCCTTGAATTTCATTTGCCTATCCTGACAGCAGCCAGACTCAGTTGTCATGGATGTTGTATGTGATAGGTACATTAACAAGAACATCTTGGGTCACACGTACTAGAGTGCATGGTTTATTGTACCATGCTCTCAATCAGTCTGGCCATAGTATAATTCATATATTTTTTTGCACTTTTGAATGCATGATAGGAAAATCTGTTAAATTTTTTATTATATTTTTTAACTCTGTGGTTGTTGTATTTTATTGAATTATTATATAATGATGTTATAAACTTAGTTTATGTTGAATATTATATGTTATAAGCAAGTGTGTTAAGGATTCTCTTGTTTATTTTCTAGATGAATCTGCAACTATAAGAGTAACAAATCTTTCTGAGGACACGAGAGAATCTGATCTTCAGGAACTATTCAGACCTTTTGGTCCTATTTCAAGGATATATTTGGCAAAAGATAAAAATACTGGCCAGTCAAAGGTGAACCCCGATATTAGATTTGAGTCAAGAAATGAAATTCTTTAGCTTCTATATATTTGTTTCATGTTTTTGTTTGTTTTACCTAATAAGACAATATATTTTTCAGGGCTTTGCGTTTATCAACTTTCACCGCAGAGAAGATGCAGCTAGAGCTATACAGGGGGTGTCTGGGTTTGGTTATGATCACCTGATCCTAAATGTCGAATGGGCAAAGTGAGTACATACATGATAAACCATTTTTATCCTATCCTGACAGCAGCCAGACTTGTGTCATTGGATGTTGTACGTGATAGGTACATTAACAAGAGCTTCTTAAGTCACACGTACTAGAGTGCATGGTCTACACGACCATGCTCTCAATCAGTGTGTCTATATATTTAATATTTTAAACTTTTGCGTTTTCTTATAATCTGTTAATTTTCCATTACAGGAAAACTTCTCATCAAAATATTTTAAACTTTCTGCCATAAAAATTGATATTTTTTTGTCGTCCTATTTGAAAAATAAAATCTTTTCTGCCAATCTATTTTTTACTTGGGCAAAATATGAAAATGCTAATTTATTTGAAGGCCTATTATATGAAGCGGAAATTTGCTGAGGCTAAGGCTCATACAAAATCTAGGCGTTGAATTTTAGAAATAAAAATTCTGCACAATGTCCATATCTTTCTACCAACCAAAAAGGCTATACATATCGTTCTAGATCACATGCTCTCATACCCTTGCAATACATTAAGATACCCATCATAATACTATCCCAATTTCTTTGCTCACCCGAACATTGCTTACATAAGTCTACCCATTTTTGCTGGTCATCAGAAGAATCATCTACTCTTAGTTACTATGTCATGCAGAGAAGGGTAGGGGGGGGGGTCGTCTATGTCAGCTAAATTTAGATGATGGTTTGAATGTGCTACTTAGATGTTAGCGCATGGACACTAACTCTCATCAATCATAAATAAGTAAAGGTGAATTTATTTGAAAGATTATTATAAAATAAAAATATGATGAGATATGCGCTGTTCTCATTTTACTTTTACTTAACTTTACCGACATTTAATGCGATCAGTGACTACATCTCTAATACATAGTATATTTCAAGAGAGGGTGTCATAAACTTTTTTTTAAATTAGTTTCTAAATTTAAGCTGTGGCATATTTTTTACGATAAAAATGTTTCATTGTATGTGATTTGTTTCATTATATTCGCTGAACTACCATTGTGTACATTATTTTTCTTTCAGACCTTCGGCACAACAATAGCGACTGCTTATAATTTATTATGTGATTGGAACTTCGTAACAATGTTGTCTTAGGAGTGTACTTCGACTATAAATTTTAAAATAGGGAAACGAATTCAAGTCATTCTACAGCAGGTAGAAAACTATTACTAGACACAGAAAAGTTAGTCTTATTATAATTCTGTCACAAGAAATTGATGAAATGCTTCTGAATCAAACAAAATCTTTTGTGTTGAAATAATAAATGTCTTATTTCATTTTACTGGTTGTTACTTTTCAATGTATGTAATAGAGTGACTGAATTGTCAACATTGATTATGTCTTGTTATGTATATGGTATGTTTGATAAAAATTTTGTTTAAGGGGTCTAAGCTGGGTACATTTAAATTGTCATTTTAATAGCCTCCAGGATATTGTCTTGTACATTATTGTAAATAATTTTTTGATCTATCTATCCTCACTATCACAGACCAAGAAGCATCAGTTTAAAAGAAAATGATTATCTTTTTTTTTTTGGTCCATGTCTGATAAAACAAATAAAATAATGAACACTTTTCTAGTCTTTTTTTTTTTATTTATTTCATACTGTATCAGTTTTCTTTAAGTCCATATTTAAAAGCCAACCTGAGCCACAATACATTTTGCCAACATCCTTTAACAAACCATTTGTAGCAGGTCTGATTTTTTGTTGCTTTTATTTGGAAAAAAGATGACAGATTTCTTATAATAAAAGCTTTATTAGTATTTAGAACAATAAGAAGCCTATTATTTTAATATATAACATTTGTAACTAAATAGTTCCTATGCAACAAAAGAAATCTGAAATACTTATGGTTTATTACAATTTTTCATTTAATTTTGTTAATCACATAAAAACTTTGGTTTGAGCATGAAATTTTTTGTTAAACTTTAGTGTTAAACTGTGGCTGCCAAAATGTTTTTAATAATTCAATAACTTCACTACTAAAATCAAATTAAGACAGAATTGATAGTATATTTTTTACTATTAATATTATAACATTTTTTTTGGAAGTTAGACAGGAATAACAGAAAAAAAGAGTTGATCAACATGGCAAAGTTTACTGATCTTTTGGACATGGGCAAAATATTAGAGACAGCTTCAATTAACTGTCTTTATAAATTTTTGTAATTATTAATTACATTTTTTAAAAAGTTATTTAATTAGTAAAAAGAGAGTCACCCAAATCCAGTTAAAATCATAATGAAACTAAGAATACAAAGCAGCTTTGTTTCCATGCTCATTAACTCATTAGCACAAGTTAGCAACATGCTGAGTGAAATATAACAATTCGCACACACACTTCCATAAATTAATTTACAGTCCTTCCCACTACATAGACGATTTTCTAAATTTACTCCACAAAATCATTTTGACCATCACCTTGAAACAACAAAAATTATAACTGTACAAATTTGAAATAATCCTATTAAAATACTATTGAGATTACATTTAAGTGTCAGTAAATACAGTAAGCAGTTTGGTGACTTAAATAAAAAGGCTAAAAAAATTACTTTCATTCATCACTTTAATTACAGTTGGGTTCAAATAAAGTTGATATATAGAGATTGGGGGATAATGGAATGATTAAAATGCAATGGGTTTTTTAATTGGTGCAAAGGCTTAAAAAATTGTATTATTTTTATATTAACTTAGTAATAGTATGGGTATTACAATGAATTACCTGAAAAGTATATTTTAAAAGAATTTGAAATAATACATTTAAAATGCCTTACATATTATGTTGCAACTTTTAAATGTGGCTACAAAAATGTAATTGACATGTAAAAATAACAGTTTAAGAACCTGTTAAAACTATTTAGCTGAATGTTTTATTAAATGTTTATTTTGATAATCTTCTAATAATTAACTCATTTACAAATATTTAACAGTTCTTTCAAAATACATAAATGCTATAAGAAATACTGAATTTTTTCCTCCAAAGTGTATTGTAAAAAACAACGCAAAAAAAATATAAATTATATAGATAATGTATGTAGTTTTATGTAAACTGGTGAAATAGTTCTGATAAAATATCAATGTGCCTGATGAACACATTAGCAATGTTGGAACTCTATACACGAAAACAAAATTTTGAGGTCGATCATAGTGAAACTATTTTTCTTTTGTAACAGTAACAGTAGTTAATAAGTTGTTCATGAACATAAAATATGCCCAAACTTCTCTGTAACTCTTCACTCTAAAGCATCATACAATTTATGATCATACATCATGATAAAACTCATTCAAACAAATCTTATCTCATAACGGCACTCCCTAAAAACCATATTACTTTTGTAAAGTTATTCATACTGTGCTATTAGAACCATCATGTACACTCCAACCAACAAAGCAGCTACCTCTTTTATACTTTGGACAATCTTAGTATCCTCAAGCAGCTCTGGGATGACAGAAACTGTGGCTATGTAGATAAAACCCCCAGCAGTGAAAGGCAAAATCCAGGCAGTGGCTGCTTCTCCTATTCCTTCCATGAACAAACTGCAAAGTGTTCCCACCATAGCTCCAATCGCAGTTGAAAACTGTAACATCATCGCCTGTTGGGAAATAAAATATCAGTTCATTTATCAACATCAGTTTATATTAAAATGAACTAATATTTGTAACATATAAAAATTAATTGAAAGAAATTTTTTTTTCCAAAATTACAGCTTGAATAGTATTTAAAAAGCATTTTCAAATTGTTTAATTTTTTACAATATTAAACTTAATTAGTGTTGACCTATAATCAAAACAAATTATGGGGAAGAAGGACATACTTTTTTCTTTGAGCATCCTGACTGGATCAGAATTGCAAAATCTCCAATCTCATGAGGAATTTCATGTAGAAATATAGTGACTGTTGTAATAATACCAACACTTTGTCCTGCTAGAAATGATGCTCCAATGGCAAGACCATCAGTAAAGTTGTGGGCAAAGTCGGCTGCTAAATTGAGGTAACCAGCCACTTTAATGTCAGACCCATGAGCTGGAACAGCTGCGGAAGAAACAAATTGACCTTCAGCTGATTCATATCAAAGGAATTGTCACTAAAATATAATGCAAGGAAGTCACATTAAAAATATATTGTGGACAATTCCCAAAAAAACAGATAAGATTTATAACTTTTTAGAATTTAGTCATAAAAGTTATACAAAACTTTTTCTCATATAGGCCAAAACTCTAATATCTGGTCATTAAAAAGGATTTTAGTTAAAAGTGCTAGGATCTGGATCAATATGCCTGACAATAGCTCACATATGGATAAGTAGAAAAAATGATGTCTATACAAGTCCAATACTTTTCTACAGGCCTAATTGGTAAAATAACACTTTAACTATCAGCCCTTTCAAATACCTAAGTTTTAGAATCTGTAATTTAAAATAACCTTTTATTACGTTTCCATCTCCTTTATTGTCTTCATCATCACTGTCTTTCTTTTTTCCTTTAGGTAATGGTTTACCAGCTTTTTTTTCAGTAGCAGATTTAGGTGCCCCATGGGAGTGACCATGGCCATGTTCACCTTTTACAAATCGAACAAATTTTTCAACAATAAGAAATGCTATTATACCAGTTAGTACCCATAAGCCTACTCTCATATCATGCCCATGTGAATGTTCATGTGAATGCCCATGCGAATGGCCATGGTCACCATCTTCTGAAGAATGAGAATGAGGCGAAATCGCATGGGGAATTAAGTGTAGAAAAGCATCCCCAAGAAGGCCACCTGATGCAAAACTTAATAAAACTTTAAGCAACTGTTGATGTTGATCAGCATTTTCCAAAGGGATGAATACTAAGATAAGAACAGGGGCAGCGCTGATTAAAGCAGTGGCACCGAGAGCTTTAATCCACAAACCAGATGGTGGCCCATATTTTGAAGCAGTATTTTCTTTTTTGACATTGTTTTCATTGTGAGAATGCCCACTGTGTTCTTTTACTACCTTTTTTTTAGCGTTAAGTTCAGGTTCACTATGTGCGTGTCCGTGATGTTCAGCTTCATGGCTGTGGCCATGAGGCTCATGGGAATGTCCATGGTGATCATGAGAATGACCGTGATGTTCGTGTGAATGACCGTGTCCATGTCCATGGTCATCATGAGAGTGTGCATGTCCGTGATCTTGTTTTTTTACTTGAGCATTTGCGTTGGCCTCTTTGCTGTACTTAAAGGATGGTGGTTCTTTAGGATCATCGTGATCGTGTGCATGTCCATGATCATGCGCGTGCCCGTGGTTATGGCCGTGGCTACTGCCAGCATGAAATATAAAAGCGCCGAGAAGAAATGCAAGAAGACATAACGATGGAATTCTGTTTGTAAACACGGTTCGTGTGGACGCCGCCATGTTGCTACTCTGTACAATAGTTTACGTGTACAATTTGGGACAGGTTTTTTACAGCTATAATGAAAAATATATTTATCCTTCTAGATTCTTTAGATTAATTATATTTTTAAAAAAATAAAAACTGAAATGGCCATTATTAAGAAATAATAAGAATTAGACTGTTGCACTTATTGCAATATTTGTAGATATTCGTATTTAACAATAGATTATTTTGCAACGCATTCGTGCTTTAAGAAAAGTAAAAACGTATTATCTGGCATTAACAATAAGTAAAAAATACTGCACGTTTGGTGTAATAGTGTTTCTTTTAGACATTTTTCTCCAGAGTTTCTTCCAGGCATCTGGAAAATTTTTTACCGCCCCCCCCCCCCCCCCCGAACGAAATGAAATTTATATAATTTATATAGAAAATATATACTTTTAACAGTGTCCGCCCCCCCCCCGAAGAAAGTTTACCGCCCCCCCCCGAAAATTTCAAGTGCCCCCCCGGAGAAAAAAGTCTGGAAGAAACACTGTTTTTCTCCTATTGGGAGTGGGGGGGGGGTCTAGAGATCTATATAAAAGCTTGTTGTTTTTTTTTTTAAATATTATTAATAATATTAATTTGTTTTCAAAAATTTTAAAAGTTTTTAAACATTAGAATTGCATGACTAAAAAGAATTGCGCGCTAAATGAACGCAAACAATTAGCGTTTAATAGCGCAGAAAATTAGTTAATATAGGAAAATTTAATTATTCTTAAAAATTAATTAAGCATCCAGTTAAGTCAAAGTTGATGTCATCTTGTATAATCCCGGATCTTGACCCACGTTCAAAGTTTGAAAAAATCGGTCCGATCGAAGTGGTCAAAATTTTGCTCACAAGTTTCGACCCATGACGGACAACTGGACTTTTTGTGACGATGTGTGGGATCAATTATTTAATTTTTGTTTTGAGATGAGGGGGAGGATGACACTATGAGGTGCCGCATAGCGTGCGGCGTCAAAACAGCCAATGACAAAACGGCCCCGTCAATAGGACCCCGACAAATCGGCCCCGACATAAGAGCCCCGTCATATGGACCCCGTCATATAGACTCCCGACAAATAGGCTCCCGTCATTTAGGCTACTGACAAATAGGCTCCCGTTATATAGGCTCCCGGCAAAAGGGCTCCGGTCAATAAGGCTCCCGACAAATAGGCTCCCGTCATTTAGGCTACCGACATATAGGCTCCCGTCATTTAGTTTCTCGACAAAACGACCCCCGTCATTTTGGCTCACGACTAAAGGACCACTGACAATACGGTTTCTGTAGAGACTAAGTCTCCCGGCAAAACGGTCTCATTGAATATGACACCTGCCAGTGGGACCCCTTCATCAATATTCTTTAGAGTTAGCTTATCCAACACTCTTAAGTAATACAACGTATGCATCTCTTGTTCGGCAGGCCTTATATTTATAACGAGCCGACCCGCGGCGTATCATACGCCGCTATTTAGTTGTTTTATTTTCTACTTTTCAGTAATTCCTAATTTGTGAATTCGACAGTACCACTGAAAATATTTGCTTTAAAACACTACCCACCCCCCCTTTCCCCTAACCCCGACCCTACACCCCCCCCCCCCCCCCCCCCGTGAAAGCAGCCTCCTCTTAGTTACCTCCTCTAAGTTTAAAATCGCATCAAAATAAATTATCTGCCCCTAATAGCCGTAACTAAACCCGGCTCTACGATTTGTAAACATTTAGAGTGAACACCGCTCACCAGACAGTGTGTGGGTGGGGTGAGGGTGGTGATAGAGAGAAAGAGAGGGGACTGTAAGGCGCGCTTGCAGCTTGTTTTCTAATGTCTCCCAGAAGAGAATTATATATATAGATAGTTTACCTATTATAAGCAATAGTATCTATGACTTCCATAAATGAGTCGGTTATATATATATATATATATATATATATATATATATATATATATATATATATATATATATATGTATATATATATATATATATATATATATATATGTTACGGTCAAAGCCCGAAGTGCGGCCAAACCCCGGATTGGCCGGCCAATGCGCGGATTGGCCGGCTCTCTTGGCCAAAGCCCGAAGAACTTAGAACTAAGATCGGATTTCGTACATTGGCCGGCCAATGCGCGCACTGGCCGGGACGTACTGGCCAAAGTCCGAAGTACTTAAACTTGACAGCGTATTTTGTACATTGGCCGGCCAATGCGCGCATTGGCCGGGATGTCTTGGCCAATGTTGTATCTAGACTAAGTTGAGATCGCGTTTTAATTATTCTGGGTGCGGTTTCATTGTGAGTAACGTATTGTTTAGCTCTTGTTTGTATAGCATTCTATATGCAATGCGACATGGATCAAAAGGGCCGTCAGACCAAGAGACAGACATAGCAAATGGCTGTCAAAAGAAAAAAATGTAAATCCATGTTAGTTTCCATATATGGGCTACAACTGTATGTGACAGCCTCCTCCATGATGACGAGGTGAGACAATCATCAAAGAACAAAATCAAAGACAGTCGGCGTCACCGACCACGTGCAACAAGACGGAACGTTCAAAAGACTTTTCCGCGTTCCTAGATTTCAAAACATGATGATGTCATGGATGCAAACAAATGAATCAGCTCATTGGGCTGAGAGTCTCAAATTCATTCAATTTATGAAAAATCGTTCTTTTCATCAAGGAATCCAACAATCACCACACGAAGCCTTGTTTGGATGCAAAGCAAAAGTGGGACTTAGCACTTCAAATCTACCAAGCGAGGCTCTCAATAAAATAGTTACTGAGGAAGATCTTGAGAACATTGAACAAGAAATGGAGGTTGCCATAAATGCAACTACATCCTCAGCTAACACATCTACTGCCGTGGCGGAACGTCCATACCAGTTACGTGACAATAATGTGGCCAACAGATTCTGTATAGTTTGTGAAAAACATTGTAGTGCAGCTCATTCTTGTGGATTCTGTGGCAAAGATGTCCATGCTATTTGTGGAGTACCCAATGAAGCAGACGAAGGGTACGAAGGGAACATTACCTGCAGATTGTGTCACAACAAACAAGACATCATGGAACACAGGTCAGCAGTTCATACTGGCTTGCAAAATCAAGGTGATAAGATGCTTAAAACATCAAATACAAAATTTAAATATGGTAAAGTGGGTGACAATGTACGCATCCGTGTTCCAGATGTTGACAGAGGTCACGGTGATCCCCAAAGCGTGATTGCAGTTGTCATGAGCGTCGAGGGCGGTTTCTACAAATTAGGAACGGAACATGGTGTTCTAAAACAACTGTATGCTAGAAGTGAGTTTTCAATTCTTCACAAAAAACTGCTCTTATTGTCGTCAGTTGGCACTGAGGAAAAATCACTACGAACCATCGCATCTTCATCGCATCTTCACAATCATTGACTGGGGGCCAAGGCTACACTCGCTGCAATTGCACAACCAAGTGTACAACAAATCGCTGCAAGTGTAAAAATAACAAGCTGCTGTGTAATTCTAAATGCCATAAAAGTTCAACTTGTTGTAACAAATGATAATATTGATTGATTGAGACTATAGTACAATAAAAAATTTGAATGTTTCTGTCATTCACTTTAATTAATAATCAATAAAGACTTAATTTCATGATCCTACCGGCATAAAAAACCCAAAATCTGCTCATGATCTTCTAATTAAGACTTTGGCCGGTCCACCATGGCCATTCCGCGGACTGGCCGGGACTGGCCGGCCAAAGGCCGAAATCAAGAGCTATTTCAGACTTTGGCCGGTCCACAATGGCCAGTCTGCGGATTGGCCGGCCAAAGGCCGAAATGAAGCAAAGTTTCGGACTTTGACCGACCTATGGGAGGCGATATTGGCCAATGCGCGGATTGGCCGGCCAATCCTAGCATTGGCCGACTTCGGGCTTTGACCGTAACATATATATATATATATATATATGCTGTTTTCAACTGCAGTATGCTTGTAGGTTATCAAAACAAAATGCCGTTATCCTGTAAATATCATGTATATCATATATTTACACTTCTGTACTCGCTTTTAAGCAACAGATCTTTACGGTTGTAAATTGAACATTATCAAATCTTAAGAATTGGTGGAATTTAGCTGTTAAGGGCTCGATTTGTTTGTGAATTGATGTTGGTTCATGAAAAACATTCAGGCATTTAAAAGAGGTTATAGTGGTATTGGAGGTAGGACAAAATGGTTACCTTTAATCCAATAGTCGTCATGCCATTCATTTGCCTGGAGCCAATATGTCCTGAGTCATTTTGTCGGAAGCCAATACGTCGGAGCCCATTTGTCGGTAGCCAATATGTATTGAGCGCATTTGTCGGGAGACCATTTGTCGTGAGCCCTTATGTCGGGAGCCAATAAGTCGGCAGCCCCTTTGTCAGGAGCCAATTTGTCCTGAGCCTATCTGACGGGAGCCAATATGTCGGGAATCCATTTGTCGGGATCCTAAATATCGGGAGCCCATTTATCGGGAGCCTATATGACGCGAGTCAATATAACGGGAGTCAATTTGACGGAGCCAATAAGTCGGGCCCTTTTGACGGGGCTATTTTGAATGTGACGTTTTGTCGGGGTCGATATGACGGGGTCATATTAACGTGGCTGTTTTAACGGGACCGATTTGTCCCGGGCCATTTTGACAGGGCACCGCCGCACAGTGATACATCTGACCTTGCAACGCCACTTTTCATGTTTCTCCCGAATAGTGGATTTAGTAGAAATAATGTATTTGTACATGAAGTCAAAGATCGCTGCAAATTGGCATATTCCTGTCACCAATTAGATAGATCTATATTTATTATTGAAACTAATTTTAAACTAGATACTTCGCAATTTTAAGCAAATTAACTCCCCTTGAGAACGCCCCTACGATAGATGGCGATGACGAATAAGAACATCCGCCATTTTTAGTTACATTGTCAATAAACAAACCAAAGACAGGTTGTTTGTCCGTAAAATTAAGCGATACAAAAGGAGCGCTTTGTTAAACAAATTGGTTTTATTGGTATCATTTAGACGTTTTTAGCTAACATACTACAGGTAATATGGATGGCGTTGTTTTGGTCTATTTAATAAATTTGCAAATAAAAGGCTAAGCTATCACGTGAGTGAGCGATCCGATTCCCCGCTGACTTGCCACTTCATTGTTAATAACGTCACTGTCACTATTGTGGTGATAAATAAAATAGTATTGCACTGATCTATATCTAGAATCTACATCGCTTGTTACATTGTGTAAAAATAAAACAAAATAACCGATAGTAGACATGTAGAATCTATGTGTATTCTAATAATAGAAAATCTAGAGACTAGACAGACAGCAGGCTACACAAAAATTTATATTTTGTTTGCTAGGCATCCGGGGTTAAAATTTCTCTTGTCTGAGTTTTGTCCAGAGTATTATACTATTAATAATATAGATCTAGTAACTACTAAAGAGCTTGGACGTTTTTTTAAACTAGATTACTATATTAGGCCTAGTTTAATTCTTTATGAGAATGAGTGATGTATTCTGTATTGTAAGAAGCTGCTAGATCTAGATCTAGTTACTTAGTTACTAGACTTGTAGACTAGCTAGACCCACTAGATCTATTATCCTATATTAGTAGCCCCCCCCCCCCTTAACTAATTTATAGTCTATTCTGACTATTGTACACATTTCTTCTTGAGACTAGATTTAGGTCTAGTCTAGATATGTAGATAAAGAAAAAAAATCTGAAATATTGTTGAAGGAAGTGGCTATTCGGACCCGGGTCCCAATAGCGGACGTGGCTATTGGGACCAGGGTCTGAATAGATGCATCCACTGTTGAAATAAAAATGCTAAAAGATGTATGCTAGTTATAGGTCTAGTAACCCTGAATTTTTAGTTGTAAAGCTAGATTTAAATGTTAAAATAAGGATAGGTTTAGTCCTAACTAGTAACTTAAACTAAGTTAACATCAATGACAATTCAAGCTTTAAATTTTCAAAATAAGAAGTAAGAAGAGTCTACCAAATTAAGTTAATAGAAAAAGTGTGTTACCTACCCAAGAAAATAGAAACAGTAGGCCCAATTAAATAATTTTGTAATAATTAAAGGCTCTGTTTATACAAAAATAGTGTTTAGGTAATCACCAGGCTTACTGTTTGCAAAATATTATCTTCCTTCTTACCTTTGAACTTGTATAGTGTTTAGCGATAGTAGGCCTATATAATATTTTCGATATAGCCTATAGGCCCAGTAAAAAAATCCTGCACAATTCTGTAATAGGCCTAGTTGCTTTGATTTCTAAGAACCTTACCGTTAATAGCTCATTAACGTTAACTCTAAATATAATTTACTTAATTCTTTTATTAGAAAATAAAACTTATAGGCCTAAGCCTATCATTTAGTATTTTTAGGTTAAGTAATAGAAATTATTAAACAGCCTACACTTTAAAAACATATTCATATTTTAGATTACTTTGGCCTAACCTTTTTAGCCCTTTAGGCCTAAATGTTATTTTATTATATTGTTTCCCCATTTTTCTATTAAAGGTTAATTGGCCAACATGGCTGCAGGCCCATACAATTACAGCTATATCTTCAAATACATCATAATAGGTGATATGGGAGTAGGGAAATCCTGCTTGTTACACCAGTTCACAGAAAAAAAATGTAAGTTATGCTTTTACAGTCTGATATATGCTGCATCTTGCTAACTCAGAACTGATGAGTTCTTCAAGGAAGTGATTCAGCAGTTGTTTTTTTTTAAAGTTGTTATTAAATGGCTATTAAAAGGTGTTTATTTAATGGCTACCATGCTAAACTGATGTTCATTTCTGATGCTATGTTTACTTTCCCCCATTTTTTACTTACGTTAAACCACAGCTCTAAATATGTATTGTCAGTGGGGACCAGAAAAATTGTAGGTTAAGTTACATCCTTTTCAACATTTTCCTCAATAAAACAATCATAGAAAATAATGATTATTGGAATGACATTGACAGTAATTTCTTTAATTTTATTTTACAGTCATGGCTGATTGCCCTCACACTATAGGAGTGGAGTTTGGAACGAGGTTCAACAAATTTTTTAAGTTTCCTTTTTCTGTTGATTTAGTAAAAATGTATTTTAATTCTAAAAAAAATGATTATGACTTGTATTGCAATGAAAAAAAAAAGTATAATCTTGACTTTTTTGTACCTCCATGTTAATATGAAAATATTAAATCAAACCTATATGTACAAATAGATTGTTTTAGAATAGCTAAAAAAAAATACAACCATTTTATTGGTTTTAATGAAAATATTTTATTTTCCCTTTAAAGCAATAACTAACAATTGTTTAACCATTTTCAGAATAATTGAGGTAGCCTCACAAAAGATAAAGTTACAGATCTGGGATACTGCTGGGCAGGAGAGGTTCAGAGCAGTCACTCGCAGCTACTACCGTGGGGCTGCAGGTGCCCTCATGGTTTATGATATTACGAGGTAAGTACCTAAAATTATTAAGTCTTAAAAGATTTACCTGTTGTTGGCTCTATTTTCAATATAAAGAAGTAATAATGAAGCAATAAAGTTTCTGTTACTTTACAAATAATCGTTTATATGGTTTCTTCAGTGAATTTAAATTTTTTTGTTTAGACGTAGCACATACAATCATTTAAGCAGCTGGTTGACTGATGCCAGGAACCTCACAAACCCTAACACAGTAAGTTCGTATTTGATCGTTACTCCAAATTTTATTTGTTTGAGAAGTAATGCCTGTCTATTTTTTTGTGATCCAGTTTATTTCTTATGTGTTTATGATTAATTTAATGTCATCAATATTGTTAAACTCATCTGATGGATTTTACAAAAAATTGTTTTAGGTTATATTCTTGATTGGCAATAAATGTGATTTAGATGCTCAAAGGGATGTTACCTATGAGGAAGCCAAACAGTTTGCTGAAGAAAATGGTAGGTTGAAATAATCATTGTCACTTTCCAGCATTGAAAAAAAAATCTAAAGTAGAAAAAAACATTTGTAAAATGTAATTCAAATATAGAGTTTTAATGTTTATGCAAGCATTTTTATTTGTGCACTTTTTTATTTATGATTCTTTCAAATTTTTTTTAAAGGTTTGATGTTCTTGGAGTGCAGTGCAAAAACGTGAGTGCATTGTTTAATTATAGACTTGGTAGCAATAAAACATATTTTTCATTATAAAAGTGAAATTTTAAAATATCTATGCTAATTCTTAAGCCAACTTGTTCATACAATTCACGCCTAACTTCAGATCTTCCTTCTTTTTCTCTCCTCCCCCCCCCCCCCCCATTTTCATGTATATCTTCTCTCTCCCACCACACCCCATATATTAGTTTCTTCCTCCCTCACCTTCAGATTTTCCTCTCCCTCACACAATCATTTAAGTCTTCCTCTCCCACATTCACCTCCTCCACACACATACATCATGTATGTCTTGCTTTCTCCTTCCCCCCCCCCCCACCCCCCCTCCAAAATGTATGCCTTTCTCACCGACCATTCTAGTCTTCTTAAGTATAAATATATTTCTTGTCCTCTAGATTTATGTTAAAGGTTTAAATAATTTATTGCAGGGGTGAAAATGTTGAAGATGCCTTTTTGGATACAGCTAAGAAAATTTATCAGAATATCCAGGATGGCAGGTAAGAACAAACTTACTGATATTGTTTACCTTATGTCATATGGTTTGTAGATTTCATTTTGGTTTCTTAAACATCAGAAGCTTAGATATTCCGTTTAAGCTGAATAAGACTTCTGTTGGATTGCTTTTATATTATTATGGGATTATAACTTCAGCTTCTTGTAATTAGTCTTGTTTGCCACAGTACAAAGTAGACTTTGAAAACTTGTTTGTGTGTACTTTAACTTACTGATTCTAACTTTTTAACCAGGAAAGTAATAAATACATTTTATTCTACTTGTTTGCTTACACAATGTTTTGTGTGGGTAAATTAAGTAAAATGTCTAGTCCTTGTAAAATTAATTAATACTTTACAACACAACTCTTGATTTTGACTGTGGTGTGCCATTTTCTGAGGCATGAGTATGGTGCTTGAGGCGAAAGGGTTAATAAAGATAGGAGCAATGGTTGATAAAGGAGCATGCAGTCATGTTTTCACACCATGTTTCAGTTTGGACCTGAATGCTGCAGAGTCGGGAGTCCAGCACAAGCCGGCTACACCTCGCAATCCAATCAACACTGATCAACCCCCGAACAAAGAGGGATGCGCCTGCTAGAATAAATACATTTGGACTCATCATCAATGTGATCATCTATTTTTGTGGTTGTCATACATCATCATTATCACACACCTCCTGATGTTTGCTTGGACATGGTTTCTGGAATTATTATAATCCCCCAGGCTGAGTGGTGATAACTGTCATTATACCAGTTCACTTGAATTGCCGTTGGTTGACTGAATGGTTGTAATAATTGAAAGGAAGCCATTGTCGTTGTTGTATTTGTAATAGGATGGGAGAGAACTATTTTTTGTGACAAAATATTTCCATTTTTTTTTTTATTAATGTGGCTGTGCTTATATTTTTAAAATTTTGTTTGGGAATTGAAAAAAAATAATCCATAAACTGAAATTATTGCATTAAGAGTTACTAAATTAACTTTGGTGAGAGGGTGGGTGGTTATATTTTTTTTTTAAATTTGTGTTCTTCATATTAATTCTTATGCTCTTATGTTAAATTGTATTATTTCTTTTTTTATTTAAAAGCCTTCCTTATTTTGAACTTACAATTTTTTAAACACTTTTTAAATTCCAAAATATCTGCTTATAAAATTATATAATGTAATGATATAAAGTGAAACAAGCAAAACATTTTGAAGTTTAGTATACAAACTCAATGCAGATTCTGATGGTGTGAATGGCAACATACTGTATATTTTTTTTTATTAACTTATATAAAGTTCCTTTAAATTTAACTGCTGTTGAAACATGTTCTATGGGAACTCTTTTTTTTTTTTTAATGTGATATTCTTTATGGCTTGTTCATCACTCTATCATCCTTAGAGTTTTCTCAGTGCATGTTTCCACAGCAGTGAAAGTATCAAACTCTTAACAATAATGTTTAGTCATGTCTTACTTATTTCATTCCTCCAGTTGAAAATTGAAGAATGTTTCATTTTCAGATGTTTTTTTTTTTTTGGGGAATTTACTGCAGCCAAATAACAAATAATAGGAAAGAAACCAATTGTGAAACAAGTGAATTGTCTGGACATATTAACATTACTTTTGGATTTATTTCATATTGATGTGACCTTGCCACATCGCATAAGATAGACCTAATTATTATTTTTAAAACGTGTAACAGTATTTATTAATTTAAGACAACACTCAAAAAAAGTTTGGTGCAGATATGTATCACTGGGTCAGTTGAATCATTTGTACAAGCATGATTTTACAGGGTTGAGGTAGCTGTAAAAACAAACATTTGATTAAATATTATTATTTACAAATCTGTGTCAACTTTGTATTGAATGTCAGATCTAACCAGGGGTCTTATCCAGATGCATACATTTGTGTATTTACCAGCTGTAATAATGGAGTAGTGACATGTATATATTATGCACATATGTAAAATTGAATATACTTGAAACAGTGCAATGTATTGAGTTCTTGGACATCTTATTTTACAATTGTTGTATTTGAATGATTGGGACAATGCAACGCGAGCACAAAGTTTCTGACTTCATTCCAAATTTATCTAAGCATTACATTTTTAATCACCTGTGCTTCAAACAACAGACTATTTTTTAATTTATTCATTTACAACACAGAGATACCTGTTAGGGGTTTGGGGGTAGGTTATAGGGAAGATGATGGTTGTATGTCTTGCGCACTGAAGAAAAGTTGATGCTTTGTGTACCAACATATTTTATACCAAGCTGTTGTACATTTTTAAAAAACGTGTGCAAATAGCAGGATCTTGTTGTATTTATTGGATTTTGCTAACAATAGTTGTGTTGTGTTGACTTGGTAGGTGTCTAGCCTGATGTCCTGTGAACTCTGACCTAATTTCTGCCAAACATCATAGATATTGTGTTTTGAATTTTTTATAAAAAATTAATCCCAACAAAGTTGTTTGTTAGGGTTTCAAAATCCATGTACTCATTATTCAGGACTCTGTGAAAATCAGTTTACATCTTTACTTTGTTAGCATGGGGTTCATTTTCAATTAATTTAAACAGAAATTTACCTATTACTTCAAGCAAGTTTCATTAATATTAAAAGTACCAACTACACAACTAGTTATGTTTGTTGGTTAGTTTTATTCCAGCTTATATTCACCACATAGATCAATGTATATTTCTTGAAATAGTCTTTAGTACTAGAGGACTGTGTTTTTCAAACACCAAACTGCATTATTTTAAAGTCCTGCTTCTAAGTTCTTGATGTTTTATTAGTAATTCAACAAGTAATCACTGTTACAATCACTGTTACATTTGACAACAAAATATTTTTTCTTCTTGATTGCCTTCCACAATGGATTTTCCAAATACTTTTTGTTAACTGGATATAATTTTTGTGTAATATAAGTGTCTGTTTTTCATGGGTTACACGAAAAGGGGATACATTGTAGTTTTCCGAATTTTTCTTATCTATACGGTTTTTAGTTCAGCTCTATGTAAACCACTTGTTTGATCATACTTTTTTCTCAACTAATTTTATGATAATAAATTTCACCATCTAATATATATATATATATATATATATATATATGTAAAGGAAATCTTTATCATTAACTTGAAACTTTCAAATTAAACTTAAGAACACATGAAAATGAAATCAAATTTTTCTGGATTCCTTAATTCCAATCCTTTAAAACCAGGATAGTTTTTGGGACCAATTTAGCCTGAGTCCTGTCATTAGCCAACACTAACACAGTGTATGCAGATGTTGTGGTGTAACCAGTGGGCTTGTGTTGTTTGTAGTAGGCTTGATGTTGATGGAATTTGTCTTGTTATAATGTCCCTAGTTTTATAAATGTAAAACTGGCTGTATATATATATTTCTAGTTATTGCTTTCACACACACACACACACAAAGAATAACATGTTAGAGAAAATGTAGTGTTTTTAGATCAAGATTTGAAGAGCACCCATTTTGAGCCTGAATTTAACTTGTCTTGATTTTTTTTAAAAAGATACTGGATTGGATGAATTTTGTTGAACTTTTCCATTAAATAATTTTCAGTTGTTTGTGTAAGCTGGTCAGTTATAGAAGTAGCTATATGTGGGTGCCATTGTTTAAAAAAATACATATTTATGAAAAGAGATTTCTTTGTTCTAGATTGTTTTGTATAAGGGAGGTTTTGCAGCAAATTGTGAACATTCTGGCTAATGTGTTTGAAGTTTTTTTTGTGTTATGAATAATGATTTGAATTGTCTTACTTTGTACTACTGTATGACTTGACCAGAAATAAGTCCTTGTAAGTCTTGCTTCAAATTCTTTAAAAGAAGTAAAATAATGGTTTTGTTTCCCGATTGCGCTTTAGCTTTCATTTTATCTCTGTTATATTTATATCAAAACTTTTGACACTAAAAAAAACTTCCTCAGATAAAGGAAAACTTTTTTGTGGTTACTTTTTAAAGTGTATTGCTTTATGTCACATCCACATTAACGATTGTGTAGCTGATTAACAGTATTTAAACCTATGGTTTTAAGTTCTGTATTATTCTGAGTACCTTTATGAGTATGGCTAATCTACAAATACTGTACTGTAACTTTATTTAAGAATCAAATAATAAATAGGAATTTCCACATAAAAAATACAAGAAAAAACAATTGAAATGGATGATGCAAAAGTGATCTTTAATACTGAGAAGAGTCAAACACTTAAAGCACTTGTTTATGCACAACTAAGACACAAGGTCTTGTGATGAAGTATAAATATTCCAAAACTTTCCCACCTAGTTAAATGTTTGTATTCTTAAAAAAATATACACAGCATTTATTTTTTAGTTTCTATATTATTTACAAATATTTATGGACTGAGATAAAAACTAAGTTGATATCTCTGATAAAATATCAAAACATTGAAAAAAAAGGTAACAACAATGATGTAAAAAGTGACTCTAGATGGTCATAATAAAAATCACAGCAGGAGTTGTATCACAGTGTACTATGTAGCATGGTTACAGCAGTTTTACAATTCTCATCAGCTGTTTCCTTAGGTTGATAAGGGCTTTGGCAGCATAGTACAGTTTTATACTGCTAGAATTAAAAGCACTGAGAGAAATGTAGACTTTGCCCATTATTGCTAAATAGTTTCAAATCGAAAAACATGTTTAGAGTATGTTGCACATTGATAGTAGAAGCAAAAATAGCACCTAAAATGTAATGAATGTTCAGCATACAGTAGCACAACAAATTATAAGCAACAGATTAATTTCACACGTTGAAAGCTCTACTATATTAATTACCCTATTAGATTTAATGGATAGACAAACAAAAACAAGTTTCAAACCAAAATTTGCTTTGAGAAAAACTGCATTTTTCCACTTCAGATGAAAAAGTTAAACAAGATTTTATTAATAAATTATAAAGGTACATAATGCTGAAGTAAAGGTAATACGTAAATCAAAATGAGTTCTGCAAAAGCAGATTAAATCACAGAATATCTTTTTAATGCTGGAATTATAAAATACTGCTTTTATTTACTTAGAGAGACAGCAGTCCAAAGATTTTTACTACTTGAAAATCTTAGAAAAACAAGGATATTTTGAACAAAAATGGAAATCAGGAAGCTTTTCACAGGGTAAAATGGTGGATTCAACATTAATCAAGAAACTTAATTTTAGTGTCCCAAAATTGAATAATTAAATACATCTTTTTTTCAATTTGTTTCAGTTCTTTTTTTTTTACTTTTTTTGTAACTATGGAGAAAGGTATTTGGCCACAAGAAATCTTTAGTACAGATCACAGTGTTTCCTACAAAGACTAGATCATCAGGTAAAAATATTAGGCTTAACAGAGAAAAGTATATACAAAGGTGAAAATATGCAAATATTTACACATTCTTAATAGTTTTGCAGTATATTTTAATTGTTTGTGCAGAATTATTTCCTGTTAGAAAGCATTTTTAGAAGTTAATATAGATTGAATTTTTAGAACATTGAAAATTTCATTTAAAAGCAAAAGAAGTCTACATTTACACAATTGAAGATGAAAATTAAAAAGCAGTCCCAAGACACCAGCGGTGGTCCTGTTTGCTGCGCCTCATGCGGATAACACTGCTATCAATACCAGCAGCTGCACTTTTGCTGCGCTTGTCATCTTTTAATTTTCTTTCAGCAATTCGTAACATACCAATATTTCTACTTGTGGCTGTAAGGGACTGCAGGAGACCATCACCTGCCTGAATAATGTAAAACAAAAATCCAAAGTTGATAACTGATATTTTACAATTATTAAAATTAAGAGAATTTTTTGTATATGAAACTTTTTTGTAAGGTATTTCTATTCTTTTTCTTTGTTCTTAATTTTAGTGTAGGAAGGAATCGCCTCCAAGACAATTAATTATTACGTGTAAACTGGTTATATGCCATATAGGCCATTGACTCCGATTTCAGCCTGCTTTTGTTTGTTTTTTTTTGCTTCCATAGCCATTGTCAAACCAGGAGCAAACTACAAGGCAGCAGTTGTTTGATTTTAGAGATGTCTCTCCTAGAAGAATTGCTGTCCCCAATTATTTAGCCTCATCTGCCCGTGAGTTCGAAATCAACACTTTTCGGTTTAGCAGCCATGAGCTTTACCGACTCGTTCACGTCTACCCCCAGATATTTCTATAATAACATTCAAAATTATCAATGCATAAAATTTAAATTATTTGGTTAAGTTCTCAGCCATTGTCATATGTGCCGTATTATTCTACAAATCAATATACCTATTGCTTAGTATTTGATAGAACCTGAAAAGCAATTAAATTATCAAACTGTCATATTGACAGGAATCCAATATAATGAAAACAGTTTACAGAAGTCACTCACTTTGACTATTTCTCTAGCCTCAGGGAGTTGCGTTCCAGGATGTCTCTGGAATACTGTGACCAGAGGACGGTCCAGGTGTTCACAAGTTTTGAGGTCTGAGTATTGTTCAGGACCCTTAAAAGTTAAAAAGTAATATTTTAATAAAAAGCAGTTCCTACTTCACAGAAATATTTTTATAGGTAAGATCAGTAACTGTCAAATAAAAATTGATGTGTTGCAATCTGGACATTAACTACTCACTTGAGTATATCCAAAAGCTCTTTCTGTAGAATCATACCAACGCTGTGCTCTGTGTAAGGCATGTCTGTTTTCTCCCAAACCAAGATTTATATGTTGCTGAAATTAAATTTGAACAACAAAACTTTAAAGTTTTGAGTACTTTCATAACTGAAAAAAATACAGATAATTTTAAGATATATAAAAAGTACTGACCTTTAATGTGATAGTTTCTGCAACTTTCTGTGTGAGTCCATCGTTAACTGACTTGTGGGCGGCTTTCTTAAGTTTATCAACTCTATCAATTGTGGACCTTAATTCATGTCGTAGGTAAGCTGAATGATTACGAACATCAGTTGCTTCTCCCAGTAAAGAATCTACTTCAGGTGTATAGGGTCCAAGTGGATCAGCTTTGTCTGATCCCATCCTATGTGTACATAATTTTATGTGTTAAGTGTACATAATTTTATGTGTTAAGTGTACATAATTTTATAATGTGTTAAAATGAAATGAAATGTTGGTCTAAAATAAATATTTAATTGTTAACCACTTACTTCCCAGGGTCAACCATAGACAATCTGCCTTCTACTTGACTACGGTTTGGCTTCAAAAAAAGAATATCTTTTTCAGGACGCAACACAGCTGACAAAGAATGGCATAATATGTCCAGAACTCTTGACCTTTCTTGTAAATTTGCAAAAGTTCTCTTTCGGATACTTTCAAGACACTAGACGTATCATGAATAAAAAATAAAGTTATTACAATAGCTAAGTTGATTTGTTTTTTAAAATTGTGTAGAAGATTCTCAACATTAATATAATAGTAAATACTTGTAAAGCATAGCCACCTGTAACTCTTGCTGAACAGATTTTAGCTGAAGTTCTAAATTCTTTTTACAGTTCAACAGATGAGAATATTCAGCTTCAAGAAGGTCGTCAGCACCATCACGTTCCTGTAAAATTAACAGTTGTAAGTCACTAAACAATTTTAGGAGATAAGAAAATAATTTTAAAGCAAGGTTTTTTTCACTGTTGATTACAAAAAAAAACTTTGAATAGCATTGCTATTTTTTTTTGGAGGATGCTTTCCAGTTAAAGCATTTAGGTGTTTAGTGTGATGTAATTGCGGGAGTTTAGGATTATGTTAGGGATTACTATTACTTGGTTATGAATCAACTTTAACGGTCATAAACTTAAAATGATATCTGTAATAGTAAAACTTATAGGCGGGCTAGCCAATGCGAATAATAGACAATATTCAATTTAATTAATATAGCTAGCAAGAAAAATACTTATATCTTGTACTTGTATGAGTAGTTCTAGTTTACATATTGTTAAAAAAACAACAACACAAAACTACTGCCCGGGTGTTACCTTTTCAACGGGCGGCCTAGTTATCCTTATGAATTTGGAATCTTTGTTGAGTTGTATATCTTTACGTGTGTGCTCTAATGAACGCTCCAAAGCTTCTTTTCCTCTTGTCAGGGCTTTTATTTCCTCGTTTGTCTCGAGCAGACTCTCTCTCAGCTTGGCCACAACAACTCTCACTTCTCTCATATATTTCCTAATTTCATCGTTGCTGAGGGTAGCAAGTACGTCTCTTAAGTGGGGTAGATTGTCGGTTGATCGACCTATGTCACAATTTCTGTCGCTGTTTGCGATAACCGTCTGTCCTAATTTCAAACCTCTTAGCGATCTGTTTTTCCATGATTCTGGGCCTATTGTGGTTGGAGCTTTAACTGCCGTGGACATTTTGCTTCTTAGAATGTATTAAGACCTAGAAATGTTCGTTTAAATCAAAGCTTAAAGAGCGTAGAAGGCTGAAGCCCCTTTAAGCTAGAGTCCTTCTGTAAAGAACACACAGAAAACCCAAGCGCCATCCACCGTTGCCTTGGATACAAGCCTTAGGGCGTGTTTCCTTCATATTAGGCACGCGCTAAATAATGCAAATACAATTGCAACAAATACATTTAACCCCTTTATTCGATACTTAAATAAATTAATACTAATTTAATATTCATTTACGAACAAATAATACTTTATCGCTATAAGATTAATAAAGTAAATTGATAAGGGTGGGGCTAAAGTGCAAAGGTCACTAAGTGTAAATACAAATACTTTTTGGATCTTTGCTGTTTCAGTTCACACTATCTTCTTGTCCCATAGCCCAATGAGCCCACGTGCTTTTTATTGTAATATTGTTATGTTGAATTTATTTCGGTTATTTCTAATCTTTAATTTCTAAGCACTTTGAGTCTATATTTAAATGCATTCTAATTAATTAATGTTTTTTTTTTCAATGACCAATCAGTAATTCTGCTATTCGTCTTCCGGCCAACTCTGTTTAATTATGACGTATGGTTGACTGCTGTGTCTGTCAACCCACTTCGCTTGCCTGGAAGTGGGTGGTTGTTCCTGGATTCGAGACAGTCAACTTTCTGTTTTAGGGATAGGTAGGAAAAAAGTAAGTTGTGTCTTCGTCATCACCAAATTAGGGATTTACACAATTTTGGGTTGTTAGCGGTTATTACACTAATTTTAAACTTAATTTATTCGAGTAACATTAATCCGTGTAAGTTAAAGTCAAGTAAACTAAACTATAGGCCCTACTAAAAACTAAACTATTTATTTTATTTTACTAACTAAACTGCTAGATTAACAGTTAACAGTAACAGATGAGAACAGGTTAACACTAGTTAACTAACAGGAACACGTACTTAATATACTAATTAATAGTAATTAGGCCTAGATCTAGTATACTTATTACTTAACAGTACTTTAACACAGAATATTTAGAACTAGATTTAGATCTATAGAAGATTACTAGATCTATACTTTAGTTAGTAGTATAGACAGTATAGTTACAAACTATAGAATCTAAATCTAGAGTAGATAAGAATTATAATCCATTAAACTTGCTAGGGCCTGCTATATATTATTCCTACTTCTAATCAGGGTTTTAAATGTTTTTGTGTTTATGAAACGTAACATAACCTGTAAAAAATCTTAATTTTTGTAATTTAAATTTTACAGTTTTTTAATCATCTGGTGGGAATTTAACCGGAAAGCTGTTTCGAACAACTTAACTCGAGGCTTGGTTTATACAGTGCTGCACAGAAAATGTTTCTATCATTTAGTTCTCAGAGTAGCTGATGTTCATTTGATTCCAAATTTAATGAAGTAGAAACCTTTTAATGTGACAACATGAGTGCAGTAGAAGATGCAGTTTCTAACGATTCAGTATTTACTCAGCAAAATGGTGATGTCTACAACAAACACAAAGCCACTACTGAGAAGATCAAGTCAGTGCATGAGAACCCCTTTTACAAACAACTTGGAATTAAGCACAGCGTTCCACCACATAGACCTAGTTACAGGTCAGATTCTTCCGACATTTATAGGCAAGACAAGCAAGTTTCTAATGGTCACCTAGTAAAAGAGGATGATGAAGATGATAAAGTTGAGTATCGACCAGGCTCCGGGTTTGTTACCAGACTATTGGGTAAATTTACCTCCCTTACAGCCAAGGAGGAATCAGCCAGCAGTGCTTCACACACATACTTAAAAAGGTTTTCAAGTTTAGATGAACTATCTGCTGATGATGTTTCTAAACATAAATCTGTTACTTTCAAAGAACCGACTTATGTAGAGAAACCCTCCTCATTGAGCACTTCAAAGCTTTCCCGTGCTCACAAATCAGGTAGTGTAGACTGTTTAAATCATGCACACCGCCGGTCCAATCAACTACAAAGCAATGTTGATTCCAAGTGGAATAGCAATAAGCCATCAGGCACAAGTAAGTTCTCAAGAGATTCACATATAGAAGCACCAGATGTTGACTTAGCTCGAGATGATATTATAATTATAGAAAGAACACCCCCTGTTCCTACATTAAAAGACTCCAGCAATGACTCCACCGATGGCTTACAGTCCCAGTCAAGCCATCACGAAGATCACGCAGATGAATTTCCAAAACCAAACACTGTTTCGCATGTTCGGAATATATTTGAAAATGCATCAACGAATGCTGCAAATGATTTGTATGCAAGGAGACGTAGACCAGACTCTTCATCCTCGGCTGTTGCATTGAGTCTACAAACAGATGCCAGCATTGCTGTTTCATCAAATCAAGACAATGCTCATGGTAGATTTGGGGTTTCAAGCCCCTCCCCAGTAACTTCTCCCCGAATATGTAGTCCAGATTTACACGCTAAACCAGTCTTGCTTCCCAGTAGCTCTGTGGTCTCTAAACCCTTTGAACACCCCAGGCGGCCATCTGATTCCTCGACCCATTTGCCATACAGCAGTAAAACTGAGGATCAAAAGCTCACTGCCACCGTTGCCTCCAATGTTCAGAGTTCCAGTATCCGTGCATCCGTCAAAGATGCAGCCCCTAGTTCCAATGACACATCGACTAATGTCATAGACTCTACAGTAGAGTCAGTGCCAGATTCTAAATCAACAACTGTAGAGCGAAATAATTATTTCAGTACTGGTCGTCCTACGCCTACACCACGCAACACAGCCAGCATTAAACCTACCATAGTGAATAGACCCAGCTCAGCTGTGAAGCCAGTCCCGCTGTCAGCACCAGCTTCAGCTGCCACCAGCTACAAGAAGTCCAGCCCCGTTGTCCCAGTGGCCCCATTCAAAGACAAGCAAGATGACGTCAAAGACGACGGTCAGCCAGTTTTAGTTTTCAACAAGTCAAAGCTGAGCCCGCGCAGAGAGAAGGTACAGAGAGTCAAAGATTACTCCACAGAAAGTAGTGCCCCAAATAAAACTGATAGTGTAGATAAAGATGTGGCTTCAACAGAGGAATCAAACAATAAAATTTCATCTACCAGAAAAAGCTACTATGAGAAAACTGCAGATGGGCAAAATTCAGACCAAAGCACAATAATTCACATAAAACAACACACAACTATTGAAATCAAGAAAACAGTCAAGCCTGCACCTGCAAGGGAACCGTCTACAAAGTCTTCAGCTCCAACCAAATCAACCTATGCACCTAAACCCCGGGAGTCCACAAAACAGACAGTAGCGCCCTTACCCCCTAACAACATAAAAAACAATGAACAAGATAGTTCTGTGCCGGAGACCCCTAGACCCGCACCTGTGGTGAAAGAACCAGTCAACAGTGTGTCACAGGAGACGACACTGAGTAAAATCATACAGAAATCTTCCATGTCTGATGAGAAACCCACCCCTCTTGACACTGCTACAGCATCAGAAACCCAACCAATCAAAGGCATTCCCAGTATAATAGCTCAGAGGTTACGACTCCAGAATTCAGACCCAAGTCAAGTCGCAGACGATGTTGTCAGTTCCACTGACATGGTTGATGGCAGTAGGAAAGCAAAACACGACGAGACACCTGTCACTGACGACTCACCATCACCGAGAAAACGCCTCACCCCCACCACCACCACACCCGTCCAGTCCACTTCCTCTTCTAGTAAAGACAACATCAGCTCTGAAATTGAAAATGAAATTGCTGCCGTGCGGAAAAAAATGGAGGGCAACCGCTCAAAATCTACATCAGTATCTCAGATCTTCGACAGCAGTCAGTTGTCGAAGAAGAGGAAGGAGAACCAGAAGCAGAGGGTGTCAGCACAAGGGTTAGTTCCTCCTTTGGATTTATCTGGAATAACAGACGACCAGTCTGATTTTTACCAGCCTGCACAGCGAGAGATAAAGCCGTGTAACATTAAGTTTATTGGGGAGAATGCCAAAACATCCAGGTCTCTCTTGACCAGAAATCGTAAGATAAAGGTAAGGAACAGTCTTTTTTTTTTATCAGTCTAAGTATTTTAACTGTGTCAGGCTGCCAGCATAATATATATTCACAGTGTTCTATATAATCATCTTTATTTGTTTTGTAGTTGCTTAATGTTTATTGTAATACTTGGTAGTCACATTTTTAAAAACATAATTTGTTTCATTGTGAAGTAGTTTATGTTATTTTAGTTTTATTCAGAACTATTATAAAAGGTAGCTTCTGCACTATTGAAATTATAAAATGATTGTGTATTGCTACTGTTTGTGCTTAATGTGTTGTGTGCTTTGCATGCGGTAACTGTTTTGTTTGGTTGCTGTGTTTTATTTCGGTTTTGAAGTTCTAAATATGTTAAGAATACTTATGACAGTTATGAGTTGTGGGTTATATTTTTGTTGTGGTCCATAGCCTATGTGTTGACACAGTTTTGCTTCATGTTTTGTGTGTGTTAAATTCTACACCAATGGTTCTGTGTTTCATGTGGGTAATAGTCCTGTACTCAGTATGTTTTATCCTAGTGCCACTGAGTATTAAGTTTTATTGGGGTTAAACTGTTAACAGTGCCACAAGTGTGTGCTCCACCCGTGTGTTGTTGTCCCTCCCCCATGTGTTGGTGTCCCGCCCCCATGTGTTGTCCCCCCCCCCTCCCACACAGTGACATAGCGGCACTTCCCTGATCAAATGAGCCCATAGTCTGACAGCACGCTGCCTGTTTGCCCCTTTGTCTGGGATCACACACATGTTTGCCCGTGTACTGTTTGCCTTTGGTCCCATCGCTTGAAACAAGTGTAAGGAATACAGTCAATACAGAGAATCTGTGAAGCATTGATTGAATGAATTATTGAATGTTCCTCAGTTTTAACACGACATTTTCCACACGGCCAGTGTACGGGGTGACTCATTTCTTTTTTTCCCCTCTCTACTTGTCCCCTTAATGGTGAACAGATGGTTACGGGAAGAAACTTTCGTTTGAAATTAAATATATTTTTTTAAAAAGACGGGGTTTTCTATGTAAATAAAGGGGAGGCTATTGCTAATCTCGTAGCCGCGTTAATCACCTGAGCCGTGGTGTGTCATGCATGCTAGTCATCGACCGTACAGGTGAATGTCATAATATCGATCTAAGAAATTCCCGCAGTTTATTTTATGACAACTTGTACCACCGCTGCCGCCCCGCTTTCTCTCTGTACACTGAGACATAGGTGCTTGTCGGGTTGATATAGACTTCTTGGTTAACTAGAGGTTCCCAAATAACTTCAAACTTTTGTACTCGTTGGTTTAGTAGATAGACTTTTTAGTTAACTAGAGGTTCCCAAATAACTTCAAACTTTTGTACTCGATGGTTTAGTTTGAGTTCGATTGTTGAGATGATGTTATACATAAAGTGTAGCTTAGTAATCTACAGCGTGTATATGTTCAATATGTTATCTACTAACAATGTGTGACACCCCCCCCTAACGTTTTCTCATTTGCTTGTACCTGAGCTACTGTGTTGGCTGTTAAACTGCTTATCTACTACCACTAGTACCAAAACTAGCTCACAGACATATGTTGTACCAGAACTATCCACCCTCACATTGTGTAGGCCTACACATACTTCATGTCATATACCATAATGTATTTATTGCCATCTTGTAGACTCCTGTACAGGAACTTGTTCTCAAACCGTGCCGTCCCCAGATTGTCTAACGTTTTATTCATCTATTGACCTCCCCAAATCAATGACAAAGTTTGTTCTCTCTTAGCTGAAGCGATACGGCGGTAGCAGCTTGCATGTTTTATCTCCTTTTGTATTTGATCACCCTTAAGCCCCCTATAGCAGTGATCTCAGGCAAGCGCGCTCAACTCTTGAGTATTGCGCTTAACTTTTCACACTATAGAATGCAATAATCTTTTACTTTAGTAGTGACTTTACTAGTCCATTTCAATGCACAAGTGGCTTAGAGCTGATATTAAAAAAAAAAAAACTTTTTTTTTATTTTAAAGTTTAAAGACGGCAGTTCATAATATGATAAGTGGCGGCGTAGAGATTCATCAGCATAATTTAATAATGTAATAAAAGTAAAATAATTTAAACACGGCTGTACTAGCAGCCAACATCTGTTATCTTACACTACATCTGAAAGACGTATTCACCAGAAAATGGAAGCCCTTGGGGTGGTTTGAATTAAATTAAATTCTGGCCCTAGAGAATCCACCGACATTACGGCACCCAGAGCTTCAATCACCAATCGATATTGATAAATCTAATGGCGTCACTGATACGGCTTTGACACCGTTCTACACCTAGTCGTGTGTGTTGTTGGGTGTAACGTGTTAGTTGTAGCGTTTGGTTTAAATAGTGGTCCATTTGACATTGTGTAGTTCAACACATTGGTCATTCATTGCCGCCAATATTTTTTCAAATTGTTCAGCATGAAGTAAATTCTGCAACTTGTAATCGTTGTTTGTACTTTCTCAGTTGATTTGCCACTACAAATGTTTTTAATAGAATTTCGATCAATTTCCTATTTGAACGACACGGGATTCCTTTGAAATTACTTGCTTTTGAGATTTTCAATTCACAAGATGCCCCACACCCGAATGTTATGTCAAAGATCGGCTAATCACCTGCCGGAAATGACATCATTATTTGTTGCGTGTTTTTAGTTATATATATCCTAGTTAAAGTTTGTCGTGAAGTTTTGAGCTGTTGTTGACGGTCACAGTCCTCTCTCTTGACATGTCAACGCGGACGTCGATTTATTCTTATAAAAGTTGTCTTCCTACCTTCAGAAATTCATTCAGGCAGGGGTCGGCAACCTTTTAAAGCGGAAGAGCCAAAAGTTACAATTTTCAAAATTTCCCTGGTTTTAAAGAGCCACAAAAATTTTTTATTTTAAATATTTTTTTTTTATTAAGACATTTAGTATTAGTTCAAGGAGCTGGAGAGCCGCATCTTGATATCGAAAGAGCCGCATGCGGCTCGCGAGCCGCAGGTTGCCGACCCCTGCATTCAGGTATTTCGCTGGGGGGAGGGGTCATTGCCCCATTCTTGCAGCACGTCCACCCGTCTCCGGACGAAATAGAACCAAATAAATTTATGTAGAAAAAATATATTTTTACCCATGTTCTTCTTCCCCCCCCCCCCCCCCGGAGAAAAAAATTGTTTGCAAGAAACCCCGACTATTTTATTCGTCTCTTAAGGAGTTTAGCCGTTCACATTTTAAATAAGCTAACGCAAAATCTGAGAATTAAGTTAGTATAAATTTGAACGAAAAGCCTCACAGCTGTGGGCACTGTTACAACCCATAATAGACGCGAGTACACGGAAGGTTTTCGGTTGCTGAAAAAATTTAGAAAACTGAAAAAAGTTTGAACGGGGTTTAAAAAGCTAACACCCCCCCCTCTCAACTTTTAAAATGGACAATTTAAAGCACAAGTATTCTAAAAGAGCAATTTCTTTCCTTGTTTTTTTTTAACAAACATCATGGGCTTCTTTTCGTACAGGTAAAAAAAAACAACCACCTTCCTGAATAGGTGCAAGCTTTTTCGACATTTATTGCGCGTTGTTTTGTTTAATGGCATTTTCGTCATGACTGTATTTCGTGTCTTGTGATTAAAATAGTTGGCAGTAATTCATCTGAAACCATGGGGGGGGGGGGGGGACCAATGAAGGTATATAGACGGTGGGAAACAGTTGGTTTGAGCCTAGACTACTACGTACACATTTTTACGGAAACATTGTCTGTGTGATTTTAAAAAAAACAACAACATTTTTCTTCCTGAAAAGGGTTGGCGAAATGAGTTTACTTAAGAGGTCCTTAAACGAAAATTGAAATGTAAATATAACTGTGGAAGTTCCCATAAAGAATCAAGGAAGTACCGTAGTGATTTCATATTTCTAGAAAATGTAACTTAAGCTTGCATTGATTATTAAATTATTTATCTGTCTGTGGACTAGAACATCTATAAACTGACATGTTTAACTCCTGAAGTCAGTATTTAAACACACATTAGTCACAATCTCTTTGCTATATGTATATGTCATCAACTTAAAATAGTGCGTAGGCCCATATGTTTATTGTGTGTGTCAGCACTGGGAATATCATAGGAATGTAAAGCCGCCAGCTGCTTGCGACTTTACACGTGGATGTGTGATCAAGGCGTCGGTATTATGTTCTACGCGGGATGTCACGCCACCACACTTAATTGTCATTTAATTCTGGTGTTCATTTTCAGTTGTGCTGATTTACTTTTTTTTTAAACAGCAGTTTAGTAAATTAAGGAAGGATTAGGGACGGCGAAGATCCCTCTCCTTCTCTTTCCGCCCCCCCCCCCCCCAATTGTAGATACCAGTGGCGTAGGCAAGTGGGGTTTATAACCCCTCCCATAGACCCATATATATATATATATATATATATATATATATATATATATATATATATATATATATATATATATATATATATATATATATATATGTTACGGTCAAAGCCCGAAGTGCGGCCAAAGCGCGGATTGGCCGGCCAATCCGCGCATTGGCCGGCTCTCTTGGCCAAAGCCCGAAGAACTTAGCACTAAGATCGTATTTCGTACATTGGCCGGCCAATGCGCGCACTGGCCGGGACGTACTGGCCAAAGTCCGAAGCGCTTGAACTTGACAGCGTATTTTGTACATTGGCCGGCCAATGCGCGCACTGGCCGGGATGTCCTGGCCAATGTTCTATCTAGACTAAGTTGTGATCGCATTTTCATTATTCTGGGTGCTTTTTCATTGAGTGTAACGTATTGTTTAGCTCTTGTTTGTATAGCAATTTATATGCAAGGCGACATGGATCAAAAGGGCCGTCAGACCATGTCAAAAGAAAAAAAATGTAAATCCATGTTAGTTTCCATATATGGGCTCTCGATAAAATAGTTACTGAGGAAGATCTAGAGAACATGGAACAAGAAGTGGAGTTTGCCATAAATGCAACGACATCCTCAGCTAACACATCTACTGCCGTGGCGGAAC